CGCATCAAACTTGTTGGAAATTAAAAAGAATAAAGGTGGATTCCTGGAAATTAAAATGTTATCACACCCTTTATTAGCCATCATCATTATTTCAGCACCTATCCCTTCCGCACTAGTTTCCGCACTGGTGTCCACATTTTGGATAATCGGTCTCAGTTTCCCTTCCAGATTTGAACCACTTGTACTACTCATACACTCTAGAGGTTACCACCATTGAGTCCCCATGTGCATTCGTTCGGAATTTAATTGTGTCTGCTGCAGAAAACTGTTATTCACACATGTCATGTCTTGTCACAGATTGTTGTATGTTGCTTAAGTCGAAGGTTTTCCTTTGCTAATGACTTTTTCACTTTTCAAGATGGCCGCTCGTCCAAAATTACCTGTATTTATTCTCCTTTGTAACTCATGGCATGAAAGGTGTTTAAATTGTGATGTGACCAAGGGTGGTGACTTTTTTCCTTTCTTGGAATTCACCTTCATTTTTGTTTAATTACTGACAAGTTTGATCCAACTCTGACAACCTAATACTTAGTCACACTTCGTACAAAAAAATGTTTTTACCAATTTTTCATATATTTTGCGCGTTGTTACACCTGCTCCACCTACCCTACCCCTAGGTTACTATAGCAACTATATAATTAAGACTACTGAACTTCACGATATGAAACTTTCCCAACTTATTCAAAACATGTTTAAAAAATTCAGTTAGATTGAAAAGAAAACCATTAAAACAAAGCATCATTCCTGAAACATATGGAACACCCTGTAAGTCAGAATGATTGCGCATTTTTTGAATGTCGACATAAACCATGGGCTTTCGACTTATAAGCCCATGCATAAACGCAGCATTGCAATAGCAATCTGAATCGTTCATTTCACCATAGATCTGATTTTCACGAACTAAATAAATATCGCTTGTCTGTCGTGGATAGATGAAATAGGATGACCCGATGGATTTGTGCTTATTAATCTTGATAGGTTGGAGAGGGTGCTAGACACAGTTTCGCTAAATGTCAAATCATCGTTTGGGATACTGGGGATTTTTTCCGTCTTGACTAGTTGTATTCTCCACATTCTCTCTGTGATTTTTCTTTTTTGATCCTTATCTTAATAACACTGGTACTCTCATATTATAAAACGAAGCCAGGTCATTCTAAATCCTTATTAATTATAGCAAACATAACCAATAGACCTAGTTATTAGAGCAATAGACCTAGATGTTCTGAGCTTAGGTTCTTATCATCAACATACAGCCTTATGACATGTTGTCATATACTACTTTATTTGAAATCAGTATCTTGTTCTGACATATTTATAAATTAGACTCGGGAATCAGATATAGTTGATGAGAAAGTTATGTCTGTTTCCAGATCCCCCTTGTTAAATCATTATTAACCTTGAAACGTTTGGTATTGTTCTATAGATAAATAAATACACGAGGATTAAACGGAATAGCGAGTAATCTCGGTGATAATCCACAATATGGATGCGTTTTACCTGTCATGTGTATCTTCTAGGCAGAAAACACAATTAGAAACACGAGAAACAAAACATAAACCCCATCAAACAATATCAAAGCAATCTAGCTCTTAATTATCAATGATAAAATATTATGTCGTCAAATGGTTTGTGTCGTTTTTGGAATATATTTATCAATGTGCCACTGAAACAAATAGCAAATAAATATTTTTTAATTTGAGAATTCGTTCCAATTGACTGGTCTTACTTTCTTTCGAAATAGTTCTCGTTTCAGTTGTATTTCAGGGGATTTCGGGTTTAATTACCAAGGATTCCGTGGGAAACAGAATCCGTTATTACTCTCTGACGTCACTGTTTCACGCGCATGACAATTTTTCTGTTCCGGTTGACATAAATTCCTTATATTAATGGAATAAAAAGGTTGTCTTGATTAACTGGTCAATACAATTCATCTATGACAACAGGCACATACCTGACCATATATGGATTTCACTTGTCAATACACTTAGTATAAGTATCGAAGACATAAACATTCTACAAATGTTACAAGATATTTATGTAGAACGCACACACACCATCTTAACTATTCAATGATTCCAATTAGAATTCCATTTTTCAAACTGCAGTAGCCTTAATGAGTTCCAGATGTAACTAATTAATAAAAATACTTGAATTAGTGTTTTCAGAACAGTTTTATTAAGTATGCTTCGCTGATTCGGTTGATCCAATAACAAAGGCCTTTTGTGACGCAGCTGTCACCTAATGTGACGAGACAGGATATAAAATGAATATTGGGTGTTTTTTATTGAATATTACACAACGCTGCGTAATTAACAAGCCCAATAGCACTGAAAGATAAACTCAGACCGACAACTGAACTTTCTGTCGTGGAGATAATTTCATTCCTACTTCCTTTATACATATTATCTCAATCTACATAATGTAGGTATTTCTAAAGAAGGGGAAACATCAACCTAACCCTTTTATAAGATTAACCGAGCAACGTCTGCTCTCTAAGTGTCTTTGACTTCCCCACAAAGGTCACACTATTGTTGTTCGGTTATTGCACGTGAAAGTTCCATTCGTCCAATTTTGCGCGACATTTCGAGTACAAGCTGTACCGATTGGGCTATCGAAGCTTCATTTAACGACTTTGAAATGTAGGATAATGAGGGCTTTTCTATTACTTTCCTATGATGTAATAATTAGTTACAAATGGGTTTACACGTTCTAAAGTCTCATCACATTACAAATGGTGGATCAAGAATTGTTCTACTGTGCACGAAAGCTAATGTTAAAAGTAATTCTAGTTTGGCTAATTATACTCTTCGTGGGAGTTCACGGTTATACCTAAAACTTATTGATGAAAACGTAAAGAGTTTATTTTAGAGGTACCGGTTCGATTGAGTAGTCACTAATAACAGTATTGCCTGATCAAAATGTGTAATTAATCAGATTCTGGGTATAATATTTGATGTATAGGCCTGTAAAGATTTTGACTCTGTAGTCGAGTGCAATAAACAAGTGAACTTGTTAATTTATTGAAGTTCATATTTTATCGTACATTGGATCACATTCAAAACTTGCATGTAAGGAGAGTAACCTTCCAACCAATACTATTCTACGATATACAAAACCTACAAAATGAAATAAGGATATTTAAAATGAACATAAGCAATCATTCCTTACCAAACTCTTATTTCTTAGAATATACAGGGTGTCTCAAAAAATGTACCCAAAAGTATATCAAGAGCACGGGTAAACCAATCAATATTTTCAGACATTTTTTTGCATGGTTGTGTCGCAAAAACATGAAAGTTTTCTCCCCAATACACCATTTTTATTTCAGTCTTGTCTTTTTGATGCTTTAACCCTTTACCTTTTACACTACATAATTGATCTAATTTCATATTTCGATGAAAGCCTGTATCCTTACTGCTACATTGTTCATCACATTTGATAATAATTCCGCTGGAATGTTTTGGATTTCTCTTTGGATGTTGCCCTTAAGTTGTTCTAGGTCTTTTTGCTTGGAATGAGCATTAAAACACTCCTTCAAATAGCCACAGAGAAAGATGTTTGAGGATGACGATGGCAGAACAAACACAGATAATCAGGTCAATTATCGGCAATTGATTCATTGATTCAGGAGTTACTTTCCAAAGTTAGGCAGGCCAGCCTGGACACCAAATGATATCCAAATGACAATACAGTGGTCTCAAATTGATACACACAACAAAAGCTACACTAGAATCCCAACCAATGCAGTTTATTGAACCTCTGACCTCTCTGTATAAGGGGGGTATAAGACATTGTGAGGGCCTCCCTATTCACCATATTTGACGACCCATACATTTTTCTCTGAGGCTATTTAAAGGACCTTTTTTATGCTAAACCCAAGCTAAGAGACCTAGAACAACTTAAGACCAGCATCCAAACAGAAATCAAAACATTTCACCAAAAATATCAAATGTGATGAACAATGTAGTAGTAAGGATGCAGACTGTCATCGAAATATGAGGTTACATTGAACATGTGGTGTAAAAGGTAACGGGTTAAAGTATCAAAAATGCAAAACTGAATTAAAAACTGTGTATAGGAGAAAAAACTTTTATCTACAAGTCCATGCAAAGAATGCCCCTCCCCCTCCAATCGAGAACCAATATCACAATCCAGGACCAGAACACCAAGGGACATTTCATTCATACTTAAGTCATTACAATACAATGTTGAGGAAAAAATTGAAAAATTGATATCCAATACTATAGAGTATGTATTCAGTCTCAAATGATGTGGGATAGATAAAATCCAGTCTCGAAGTCCATAGGCAATTCAAAGGGTCAACATCCGTTCGCAAAGCCATCATCATAATTTAATCCATAAAAGAAAGTATTTAGTCATAGATATTATATTAAAACTGAGTACACTGTGTATTTGTGATTAATCGACCTCGAGTGCTACCAGAGATCTTCTAAAAGTTCATCCGGACATTGGTACGACCGTTTTTACAGCCTGAAACAGTACGTGACGACATTATGATTACAGTGAAAACCAGCATTTAAGATAATTTTGCTCCTGATTTTTGAACTGTTTTATTCATCTTAACAAAAGAACACGTAATAATCTTTCCAATGGTACTGAACATGGTTGGTTAAGAAAGTCTTCATTTGAAGACTACGAAATTCGGCTACTCATCTTTAATGTATGTGTGTAGCATTGGTACGGTGCATCTACAACCAAATCGTATTGGTCGAGCTAATAATGATGTAAATAAAGCAATAATTTTCCTATCATTTAGATAGCTAACATTGTTGGCACAAAATAACCATTATAACTGCGATAAATAGTATTTTCAGAACTTAAAATGACATTTTTATTGGCATATATAAACGTAAATCATAAAGAAATATATGAAACAAGCCAATTAAATTAATAGCCCAAATTAAATGTATTTATTGTTAAGATTTATGATGAAAAAATATCGCAGAAGTTTATATATTTATATTTATTTTGTTTTTCAGGATGTCGTTGACTGTCCTTCTGTCTAACCTAAACTTGACCCCCGACTTGAACAACGTGACAATGATGGGTTTCATGAATAACTACACAGGCCTCCTTCAGATGATTCAGAATTTGGATGATGATGAAAAGAACCAGTTAATGCAAGAACTGGGTGTGAGCCTGGATGAAATTTATGAATGGATTAAGCCACCTGATGAGAAAAACCCAGAGGATGAGCTTGTTTTTTTCTGGGAATACAGGGCGTACAAATCATTATATCTCATCGTCCCACCATTGTTAGTGATTCTGGGATCAGTCGGAAATATCATGTCATTCATAATACTCCGCCATCGATATATGATACGCCTATCAACATATTTCTACCTAGCGGTACTGAGCATTGTGGATACATTCGTATTGTATATAGGCCTACTAAGGAAATGGATTTCATATCTTACTGGAACAGATTTAGCTAACATGGCAGGGTGGTCATGTAAACTCTTACAAGCATTTGGATATGTAGCATCAGATTTTGCCGTGTGGTTAATTATTGCAGTGACGGTGGAGCGGTTCATAGTTGTATGTTATCCATTACGCGCTGCCACCATGTGTAATATACCTCGCGCTAAAAGAGTAATACTAGGAATATTTTTTCTCATATTTTTTATCAATCTCCATTTTTTCATCACAGTGGATGTTACGAAAGGAACATGTGATGCAGCGCCTGCTTTTAAAACGCTGGTGACAGATATATGGCCATGGGTTGACGCTGCCATATATTCATTTGTTCCATTTTTGTTGATAACTATATTAAATACAATGATAATTGCCCAGGTGATCGTAGCCAGGAGATCAAGAAACAATATGGCCACTCGGGGAGGAAGCATGGCTTCAAACGGTAAAGAGAAACCAACCCATGAAAAGAGTGCGAAATTGACAGTCATGCTCCTTACAGTTTCATTCACATTTCTAGTACTCACTCTACCAATCAATGTTGCCATGATCGCAATGGCTAGCTGGAGCAAACACCAAGATGACAAACATATGTACAGTAGATTCCTTCTTGTAAGGTTTACTACGGAGTTACTCATGTACACCAACCACTCAATCAACTTTTTTCTTTATTGCGCAACTGGACAGAAATTCCGCCAACAAATTTTGCGTATCATATGCCGTCGGAATATCTATCAAGGTGGCGCGAGATCTGATTTTCACAGTCACAATACGAACATGACAAGCATGAAAAAGGGAAGCAGCTATAGGAATGGAAAATTCCCCGATATCGCACCAAGGATCGTGGGAATAAACAACCCACCTCTCCGTGAGGCACATACACGTTTGATATTGAAGCAACAATCTTCGGATTATAGTAACACGACTGATGCCGATGTGTAGATTGTGCGCCAATTGTCCATAGACCATAGTATCACCTCATAGGTTAGAGATTTGCACCATGCCATGTGTAATCTGGAATATCACTGATGACGTGATACACCACTTTTTTAAAACTATTTGTAAAAATGATGAGATTAAAATTGAAGCAAATAGATATACATTCAATAGTTAGTACATACAATCCCACAGATGAACCAATCGGTTCAAAACTAGGTCAACGTGAAGATGAAGAATCAGTTTCACTAAAAGAATATATATATATATATAGTTGATACGTGATATAGAGGAAGGTGTTGGAGAGACAGAAAATTATTAAAAAACTGTAAAATATATGTCAGTACACAGTTGCTCATATATCTGGCATATTGTGCTCTTCTCAAAAGTCAGTACAGTTTCTAAACTTTCAAAAATTATAGTTATTCCAGGAGACGTTGATTAGTCTGGAGAATACGCTTTTGACACCAGTGGACTCTGACGGATCCTGGAAAATAAAAAATATTTGAAATACAATGTAGCGTTTGGTTTATTTTACTGACGAGACAATGAAATTAATATTTAAAAAAAGTCCATTCATTAGAATTTGACAGGTTAAATCGAGGAAATCAATGACAAATTGAGAAGAATGCCAAATACGATTATATGAGCAATAGTGTAAAAGTAACCTTCAATAAGCACGGCAATGTGGTCCTTTTCATCCCAAATTATTAGAAACTAAGAAATTAGGGATATGAAATATCTGATAAAATAGGGATAAAGAAATGTCAGAATTCATTTATTGCCAGAAAACTAGAGGAATTAATGCATTTTGATGAAATAAACCCAGAACTCTTTCGGTACAAACGTATCAGCATCATATAATTCAGAAAATACAAACGTTCCAGGACGCATTGTTCGTGAGACGCCAGAATGATCAAAACAATTACCCGCTATGGTTACGTAAACGGAACGGTTACCAATAAGGTTGTTAACCGTTTTTAAACGTTCCGTTTACGTAACAATAGTAATATCAATGTTTTGGGCGTCTCGAGGACTATCCATTAGCAAATGCCAGATTTTTCTTAAACATGTTATGCTGACTCATTAAAAAAGAAGTACCTCCAAGGCGGCGCCTTTTGTTACCGAAAGGGATCAGTTTTCATAATCAGCTTTGGGGACTTCCTCCACAGTAAAAAGAAGACAATATCACGTGGTGGAACTCTTTAAATTGGTTAAAGAAATGGATCCGTTTCGGTTACAAAATGGCGCGTAATTTCAAAATTTTACGAGGCTATACATATACTCGTATATTCTGAGACTAGCATAGTTTATGTACATTTCAGAAAATCTCAGCGTTTCAGAAAGAATTAGTTTAGCGAGACGCCAGAATGATCAAAGCAATTCCCCATTATTCTTACGTAAACGGAGGTGTTTAATGCTAAGTTATTAATAGTTTTTAAATGTTACTTTTACGTAACAAAAGTGAAGGATAAAATCGATAATTCTGGCGTCTCACGAACTAATTCGTTCGCAAATTCTAGGATCTTCTTAAACATATGATACAGACCTGGGATACAGACTCACGTTTGTGCCAAAAAGGTCGTGAAGATTCTCACTACACCTCTTGAAATCTCTAATGGAGAAGTTATCCATTTAATATACAGTCTATAAGCTGTTTGCTATAAAAGTAAGTCGTGGAAAAGTCCACATTGTCTAACTCCACTTTCTCTAAGCAAAACTTCACGTTACATTCTAGGTGCCTTTAATGCATTTTAAAGTTGTTTTCAAGATTATTTATAGAAACTATCCCATGGTGGTATCTTTGCCTCGGCAAACGTTTCATTTGCTGGCACATTGTTTCAATACTCTAATCGGGACCATACCTATACGGTAACATAGGCCCCGTTTTAAGTCATGACACCGTGTGCTATCACACAGTATGGCGGGATGTATAATGTATAATGTTAGCGGTTTGATAGGAAGGTTAAGGTGTACCCATCATGGAAGTTAAGTTACACGTTTTTTGATTAAGAGAACACGTTCGCGAGCGTGTAATATTTCGACCCCCGGGAATTACTCTCCTGCTCTCAACTGTTTTACAACTATTTTCCTCATACCAATATACTCATTTCAATTAGGCAAGTAACTATTACAAAGGGGAGAATCCGAACTTATCCCCGAATAACCTCAATTCAACAAGTTCGCGTACAAGTTCGATTAAACACGTGTAACTTAACCTCCCTATCATTTGGAGAACTTGGACGTTAACGTGTCGTTTTACGGTGTTTTAGTGATTAGTTCTCTCCGTCGTAGCATTTACTTGGTTTATTGATAGATGTACAAGGAAGTAGTTGTAGTTAGGTTCCTAATATAGGGACAGTAATTTATTGAATTGCACGTTCACGTAATAGTTCTCTAAATAACGGGTAGCTTAACTTCCCTGTTATAAAAATGTGTTGACCTGTTATAGTCGAGGGCAATTTTGTTGTTTGTACATGTATAGTCTACTAAGGTTCGTGAAAGAATAAAACAAATATATATATATACATATAACAATTACATATTGTTGTCCCTTTCAAATGGCCCTTCAGGTATGATGGCATGATCTTTTTGAAATATTGATGTTGATCGTCCATTGATTGCCTCCCAGAGTGCAACATTGATATTCTGTCCCATATATGAAGATGTCGTGATATAAAATTCAAACGAATTCAAACGACCGCCATTCTGTTCACTTCAACATTTGAATCGTGCATTTTGGTCTTATTTCTTAACGAAAAATACCAAAGCTCAGAAAAAATGATTGAGATATTGGTATGAATCTCCTGAACTGTTTATTTTGAATTTATAGTCGGTTATAATTTCAGAAAATAACGACATTTCGACGTTTTCATTGTTGGAAATTATCGATGTTCGATCCTGGAAGCCAATCCTTGTAATTCAATAAGATCGTGCCATCTATTCCTGAAAAGTGGATCTGGTGTTAAAGATTCATGCTAATTAAATAATTAGAATGTTAATGAACACATGGAACCATCAATCGATATTTGTAATTATTAAAAAAACATTTTGAATAGTTCAATAAAATATTCATCAATTTCATTCCGAGGACGTAAAATACCATGGGCGTATGGGCAAAAAATGAACATACCGTTTGAAAGTTATGACTTAATTCCTTATTAAGAAAATAAATTTTGATCTGACAACCAAGTCCTTATCTAGAACTCTTGGAAAGATAAGTTCAGGGACTAATATGATTGCATATGCGTGATGTTTGCATATTTACTACAATGAATATCTGTGAGATCACCTCGACCTGACATTTTCTGAATGTTAAGTGAAAATGATGATAGCCAGTCAAGATGTCCTACTCAGTTCATTGATTACTATCTATTCATATACCTGCGCATATATGGGTCCAAATGATGATGCAAGCGAGATAAAAGTTAAAGCGGAAAATGCTTTTAAAGAATTTTTTAAAGAATTTAAAGAATTTTTTAAAGAATTTTTCATAAAACTTTTTTTCAATTTTTTTGAAGAATTTCTTTTTCAAAATGTTTTCATTTTTTCTCAAAGGTTTTCATTTTTTCGCCGCGTAATGATTTCCCATGGGATAAACGGACAATACTATTATTTTTCAAAAATATCAATCATATCCACTCATGGTTTACTCGCTCCGCTCTCTCGTGAAGATATCAATTATCCACTCATTGATATAAATAATATTTTTTCAAAACCATAGGATATTCCTATAATCGTTCAATGATACTAACAGGATGTATTCCCGGAAACCCTGGACGAAACACCACACCTGACACCCATTAAATACGCCTTTTTCTGATGTCACATGCATGGCAGTTGAATACGTCCGTCTTATTTCTATGCCACGTGTAATGTGAATTAGACCACGTAATTATGGCCGTTTATGATACATTAAATGTTATATATTTCTTTGAAATGCAAAGTGATCGTAGAGAATGTCTAGCAATGATATAATAAAATAAATACTTCATTCTATGTTCGGGCAATACCTGTTGCACTTTCGATGATTTTTAATTCTCCATTTCGCGGTTCGCTCTTTGATTGAGAAGGAACGAAAATATGTACTTAAAAAGCCCATCCCCCGAAAAAAGGACAAAATCCGATTGGTCGATATTTCCCCACGATGCATTTCGTGTAGCTATTTGCGTGTCTCGAAAGTACTAAATCAAACTAATTACGCAATTTTGTTTTTACACCAGCACGCTGAATAAGGCAATCACACAATTGGAAATATTGTTCTTTGTCATTTCTATAACCTGTGACCATCAGCTATAACGGTCAGCATACCGAGTTTAATCAATAAAAGCGTGTATAATGTTCAACAATGTTCGGAAACGAGTACTCTAGATTTACTACTTTCGGACACTGAACCAATGCATTGACCTAGATAATAGAAAGGCGTCTTCTTTGGTCAAATGTCCATTCGTTTGTGGGTTTTCGAAGTAGCTCTATAATGTTAACTGAAGATGAGTACTTCATCAACTCATCAGTTGTTGCATTGATTTTGCAGTTTGAAGTGCGGTAAGGATGGGAGGAAGGGATGGAAAATATGGCGACTAGTCAACTGATCACATGTCCTTCTCTATCGGAATATATTCCCTTTTTATGTCCCCACCACATAGTGTGGGGCCATATTGTCGGCCTAGGCGCGTCCGTCCGTCTGTCTGTCCGTTTGTCTGTCTGTCTGTCCGTCTGTCTGTCCGTCCGTACGTCCGGCAGTTTTCTCCAAAACCGCTACAGATATCACCTTCAAATTTTCAGGGATAACTTATGAGTGCATACAGATGTGGATGAAAAAAAATTAACTCGATACCTACTTCCTGTCGGCCATTTTGAAGTCAAATGCTAAAATCCTTGTCTGCAAATTTTAAGAAAAATGGCTTCACAGTTGCTTTTAAAACTTTAACATCTTGTTCAGCTCACTTCATTCTAGATCTGATTAGGTTTTGGACCTGTTAGCTCAGTCATGTCAGCCATTTTGAATGTTTTAAGAAAAGTTAGCGCACGATAATACTTTGTATCATATTAAATGGTGTTTTTCAGTTTTCATACTTTAACTATTTAGTAGCGTTATAAATATTTTCAGGTGTACTTTGTTGTAAAAGCCTATGTTATTTTTAACAGTAGTTATATGTGATAATTTTGTAAAAAGAAATCAGCAAAAACTCATAATCACTTTTTTATTGTCGGCCATTTTGTTTTTTTCCGTCCTAAAATCTTGTCTGTAAAGTCTTATCTACGCGTTTTCAGGTGAACCGTTTAGTAGATCAATTTCAAACTTTCAGGGATGATTCTTAGTATGAAAATCTAGATCTGATTAGTTTTTTGGCATTCTGGGTAAATGTCAAGGCAGCCATTTTGGATTTTCTGTCCTAAAATCTTGTTTGTAAAGTCTTGTCTACGCATTTCCAGGTGAACTGTTTGGTAGATCAATTTCATATTTTCAGGGATGATTTTTAGTATGAAAATCTGGAACAGATTAGTTTTTTGGCATTCTGGATAAATGTCAAGGCAGCCATTTTGGATTTTCTGTCCTCAAATCTTGTCTGTAAAGTCTTGTTTACAGGTTATCTGGTTAACTGTGTGACGGATCAATTTCAAATTTTCAGGGGTGGTTCTTAGTATGAAAATCTAGAACCGGCTAATTTTTTGGCATTCTTGGTAAATTTTAAGGTGGCAATTTTGGATTTTCCGTCCTCAAATTGTGTCGGTAAAGTCTTGTCTACTCATTTTTAGGATAACCATTTGACGGGATTACCCATAGGTGGGGACATTTTGTACACATTTGTGTTCTTGTTTCACACATTGTTTTCACACGATGTGAGCCAATACAATGACAAAAAATATCTGCAATATAAAGGTTAAGAAGAAACCTAGTGTTTATGATACTGTTTTGGTCCAATTGGACATAGCGATTGATCGAATATAGCGATTGAAAAATAGGTATGAAAATCCACATGCCAAAACAATGAGAGAAAAACAAGGAAGAATTTGTTCCCCCACGAATTGCATCATGGGTTATATTTTGTCTATATAAGGAAATACTTCCGTGCCTCCTCGTTTGAAGAGTGAAGCGCGAATGCATGTATTCCCCTGTCCCTCTAAGTCAAAACCCCAGGCCAGTTTGTACGTTGCTTGCAACCTCAGTGTTTTTGGAATAAGCTCCAACAAAATAGAATGCAAAGTTGAAATGCAGTTCATTGAATGTATTTCACATATTGAATAATAGACTTTATAGATTGGAGGTCACTCTAATTACAGCACGTGTTGATGGAAATATTGAAGATGAGCTTTTGGAGAATAATGCTACTAAAGATAGTTAGAACCCGTTGATTGTCAGCGTTCATATTTTAAAGATATTTTCAGATGCTTAAGCAGACAAGTAACAAAATGTATTACTTTACAAGCTGGTCATTTTGCAGCCGGCTGTGATATGTCCTGGTCATCTTGTGTTGTTTTATTTACATGTATCCTTATGATATCAATAAATAATTCATTGTTCTAAATCACATGGTTTCGATTTATCTCAATAGTAAGTTCACACACACTTGAAAGTCACATGAGCTACACGGAGGTAGATAACTTGGAGCATTCAAGGTTTCGCTTTGATAATGGAGGAACATAAGATCCCAAGTATTTTTCGACATGGTAGAGGTGAATTATGACAAGATTATTTTTGATTTTAATTGTCATCGGGTCTTAATTGTCGATTGTGTTGGCCTGTATTCTAGATGTATACGACGTACAATCCCAGGAACATGTGATATAAAACAAGCTTGAGAACGAGTGTTTAGATTACTAACGGTAACAATTGTTAAAACAATTGTGAAAATCTGACAAGCTTGCGTGGGATCATGGGAGTTGTCCTATCTTGTAGATCATGTGCACATATAAGTAATCAACAACAATAAAAACCAAACATTTGAACGATGAAGTCTCTTGTTTTTATCGTGCTCGTTGCCGTCGCGCATGGTTACGTGGTGGAGCAGACAGCAACTTGTAAAACAGCCTACTCTACTGCTGGTCTCTCGTCAAACTTCAATGAAACCATTGCCCATGCCATACATTCTATGACAGTGGAAGGGTTGAGGCTCTTCAATCCTAAGGCTACTGAGAAGAACTGTATTCCTACTGTCAACCATAACATCAGCGCCGATATCAAGGTAATAGTGTTTAAAATATCACTCACACTCACATACTCGTACATGTATCACTCACACGATACAAGACAAAACGGTAACATAACACTTGATAGGATGAGATTTTCCACGTTCTATTTTCTTAAATATTTGTTAAGATCCTTTGGAACGTTTAAAACGGATCTCAAAAATGCAACACTCAGAAAATACAAGATATGACAATTGATAATTTGAGATTTTCAGCGTTCCACTTTTTTAAATCTTAAACTTGATTTCAAGATCATTTCAATTGATAATACGGTACTTGATAATCTAAGTTTTTCAATGTTCCACTTTCTGAAACCTTTATAAGACCCTGTGCAACGTTTAAACTTGATTTCAAGAAACGTACATTAATTAACGTAAGCTATGTACATCATTTATTAGGTTCTACCATACGCTCCTTCTGACTGCATTGGCGGGGACTTCTCAACATGGACCATGAACACATTGGATAAAATACTTAGCAACATTGGAATTGATGACGATGGTCTCGGTCCAAACTGGTCAGCCATTGAAAGGACAGCCCACAAGTTCCATATGTGGGACCTTTGGATGAAAATACTTCAAGTAAGTAACAGTTTGTTTGAAATACATTCTTCATTAGTTTCCATAAAATATGTGAAAGGTTTGTAATATGTCTGTGTCACCCTGTATCTTATGGAAGAATAATAGAGGGTAATGTGTTTGTGTAACCCTGTATCTTATGAAGTAACAATAGAGTGTAATATGTCTGTGTCACCCTGTATCTTATGGAGTAACAATAGCGTACGATATGTCGGTGTCACCCTGTATCTAATGGCGTAACAATAGAAGGTAATATGTTTGTGTCACCCTGTATCTTATGGAGTAACAATAAAGGGTCATACAATGTCATATGTTTGTGTCACCCTGTATCTTATGGAGTAACAATAAAGGGTCATACACTCCCCTCCATAAGTTTGGCAACCTTTTTCTCCATTGAACTACGTGTTAAAGCCTCTTTACGTTTGAATTTTTATTTACTTAACCTGTGATGAAATAACTTATGATATTGATGGAAACGTAACTTGACTTTATTTCAATACCTGCAAATTTTCTTAATTTTTTTCCTCAATTACAATAGGTCGAAAATTGATGATAAATTTGATGAATTTTTGAAAATCGTCATTCTCATGTAATCCAATGGGAAATGGAGGGTTCAGGGCAAATCAGAAATCAGGATATCTTTTCAGTAAAAGATTCAGCAAAAAAATATTTTCATATAGAAAATTGAATTGTCTTACTTTTTTGAACACTAAGTGTTTAGTTTATTTGATGAATATTAAAGTTACAGCGCTTCAAAGTCATTTTTGAAAATTATTTTTCGCCTCCTGTGTTATTTCAATGGGAGAGGTTTTTGAAAAACAATTTTGACTTTAAAGCCCTATAACTTTGTTGAACCTGAAGAAACATATCAATTTTTTGTTAAATAAAGTTCGCAAATTCAATTACCTGCCTAACTCGTATTTTTTGCAAGGACTCGGATGGATGGATATTCTGTCATATGACTTGCGGCAAACCTACCATTTCCCATTGGTTAACATGGGAATGTCGATTTTCAAAAATTCATTAAATTCATCATCAATTTTCGACCTATTGTAATTGAAGAAAAAAATTGAGAAAATTTGGAGGTATTGGAATTAAAGTCAAATTACGTTTCCATCAATAGTATAAGTATTTTCATCGCAGGTTAAGTAAATAAAAATTCAAAGGTAAAGAGGCTTTAACACGTAGTTCAATGGGGGAAAAAGGTTGCCAAACTTATGGAGGGGAGTGTATGTTTGTGTCACCCTGTATCTTATGGAGTAACAATGAAGGGTCATATGTTTGTGTCACCCTGTATCTTATGGAGTAACAATAAAGGGTCATATGTTTGTGTCACCCTGTATCTTATGGAGTAACAATAAAGGGTCATATGTTTGTGTCACCCTGTATCTTATGGAGTAAGAATAAAGGGTCATATGTCTGTGTCACCCTGTATCTTATGGAATAATAATAGAGGGTAATGTGTTTGTGTAACCCTGTATCTTATGAAGTAACAATAGAGTGTAATATGTCTGTGTCACCCTGTATCTTATGGAGTAACAATAGCGTACGATATGTCGGTGTCACCCTGTATCTTATGGCGTAACAATAGAAGGTAATATGTTTGTGTCACCCTGTATCTTATGGAGTAACAATAAAGGGTCATACAATGTCATATGTTTGTGTCACCCTGTATCTTATGGAGTAACAATAAAGGGTCATATGTTTGTGTCACCCTGTATCTTATGGAGTAACAATAAAGGGTCATATGTTTGTGTCACCCTGTATCTTATGGAGTAACAATAAAGGGTCATATGTTTGTGTCACCCTGTATCTTATGGAGTAACAATAAAGGGTCATATGTTTGTGTCACCCTGTATCTTATGGAGTAACAATAAAGGGTCATATGTTTGTGTCATCCTGTATCTTATGGAGTAAGAATAAAGGGTCATATGTTTGTGTCACCGTGTATCTCATTGAGTAACAATCGAGTGAAATATTTTTGTGTTTAGGAGGTAACAACAGAGGGCTGTATTTCTGTGTCACCCTGTTTTTGTTATTTAATACATACAAGTCTGCGAAATTGTGCGTTGGCAATTACTTTACCAAGACAATGAAGGATGATGGTTTATTCATAGATTAATTTGAAATAAGATATTCCAATTTTCAGTGACATTTAACACTGAGCTTGATCATAACAAAATTCCAATATTTACGACAAAGGTATTTTGATTAAACCTAACGTTGAATTTGAAAGAATATGTCAGTCATATCTTGACATTAAACTTTAAAAGACAATTTCTCAATTGAGGAATATTTTATCAAATCCAGAATTGTGTGGGTTTTTTATTTAATTTAAAATTGAATCAGATGAAAAGACTGATATATACATTTATCTTTTTCATATAAGGCAATGTATGAATATCAATGTGACACGACAAAAAGTTGGATTGGCCATATTTTTATGAATACAGTATAAATTGGGGTCCTTTTTATCCCAAATGTGTGTCTTACCAGTGGTTTCCAAAATATAATTTCATATTTTTTATTCAGGTGTACCAGACGCGTGTAGTATCTAACCCCCCAACCGACGATGTGTGCGAATGTCTCACAGACACCGATAACAATGGTATCTACAAGGCCGTCCATTGGGTCGCCGATCACTACAAACATGGTACCCCAATCACGCTCCTCAACCGTCCGATCCCAAAGCTGACGGATGCCAAAACATGGGGTATCTGGAAGCAACGTTTGCTATGGTACTACACCGAACCTGCCTTGTACGATGCTGCTGTGTACATTTATTGTGCTACTCTTGCATTTTAATAAGAAATTAAGATGCCTTGAGAAAGCACTAAGTCACACATAAAATCCATCAAACATCAAAGGCGAACATGGACATGTTATTAAATCTAATGACTTCGCCTTTGTATAGCGCACAACATTTGAAGGATACTCATAATTAAATAATTGATGGACCATAATTAACTCCTCTCTATTGATACTAATATAGAAGCATTTCCTGTTGTTTATCATGAAACAAATCAACGAATCAAAATATAACCTGGCAACATATGTTTAGTAATTTTGTTCATTTTTTGCTTTTGCAGTAATTAGATCTTACATACAAAAATATGCATGCTTGATATTTTGTCTTAATCTAGTCATTAAGGTACTTATACACTGCCAAAAAAGCCCCTATGCTAAAGCATTGAAACAATGATTTGCAAACTCCCATGCAGGGTCTCTGAATAGATATGTTGAAGACTAGCACTGCACGGGAGTTTGAATGATTCGGTGGGATTCAGATTTTTACCACATAAATCCTTGTTGTCACATTTGAAAATAAGTTTGGTTTGCCCAAATACTTAATTTAGATGGAATCGCTGGATGAATTGTAGGAGCATTCAAATATATTTTGGCTGCTCTTTTTAATATGATTAACAAGATATTAAACAAGAAATACAAAAGTGAGGAAGGGATGATAAAAATAAAAAGTCAATTTAAGTATGGAGTGGTAGCAGAAAGTTATGTAACTTGTTTCATCCCAAGACACCATCGAATAGATTGGCTAAACTGAGAACTGGGACGCTACAACTCCGTATAGAAACTGGTAGATATGATGGTACTCCTCTGGACCAGAGAACTTGCAAACTCTGTGATTTGGATGAAGTTGAGAATGAAATTCATTTTCTGATAAAATGTCCACACTTTAAGCTCCTAAGGGATACCTTCTATAGAGAGATTGTGCAAGAGCAATTGCCATATCTAGACTTGAATAATGCAAATTCACTTTTGATATTTATTAGCCTAATGCTTGCCAAGAAGATTCAAAAACCTCTAGCAGCTCTTATTATGTATTCAAAAAGGCAATTTGACTATGGCAGATTATAGGAGTTACATTTGTGAAGTCCAGACTTGGTTAAAACTGATACTTTTTAGAATTAAAGATATAACTGGGCAGCAAGTGTGTGTCCCCAATCTGTTATAGTCATTTTCCAGCACATGACTGCAAAATTTATTGTATCAATACAGTTTATTTGTGTTTGCATGCATATTCATTCATTGTGATAATTGCCATTAATAGAAAAATATTTGTCAAAGCATTTAAAGATGGCAGCACTTGAATACTACTCTATTTAAGAGTGCTCTCTTAGTCAACTTACTCTAGTCAATGCTCAATTACAATTAGATATACATTTAATGGTGTCTCATAAGCCGATGCCGGCTGGTGGTTTTTTTAAAAAAGTATTTATTATATGATATTGAATGTAGTTTTTAAACCCGTGACACAGAAATAAAATATTTCAAACTTAAAACTTAAACTATCATTTTCTTAAAACTTACTATAGCTATTAACTATCTATTGTGCAAAACTTCAGTAGTTCAGTTTTTGAGAAATACTAGTAGAGTACTGTGCGTCCTCCTGATCCCATATACTCACATACACCCCAACAACAGCGACCAAAATAGTTTGTACTTTGCGTAAAAACCTCAGTGACATAGATTTTGTTGTTTGATCATGAAAAGTAATTATACAAATTACATTTTGATGTTACATTACAACACTCTATCGTAATTTGTATTTAGGCCTCTTTGTGTAAAACTACCTTAATCCAATGTAAATAGCTTTATGTAAAGTTCAATGCGATCTCTGATATAAAACGTGTAAGTTCCATCTGTAGAGGCTTTACGCAGGAATGGTACGGACTGAAGCACAGTTTAAAGCCGTAAGTATATGACATGTTTATCATGTTTATTTGAAGATATTAATAAGAACAAAGAATAGAGAGAGGAAGTTAGTAAGTTTCGAAACTCGAAAGTAATAGTATTGTGATAATTATGCAAAAACTTTTGCCCTCATTATTCCATGACGTTTCTCTTTTTAAATAGTAGAGCAGACTTGAATTTAAAACGGCATGATTCTGTAAGAGCTTTAAAACTAATATTTTCTTCAAAAATATTTGACAATATTAAAGGTGCAACAATTAGTACAGGGGGGCCATTCAACGATCATCGACCAATGTCAAAATATATTTAAGTTTGGATATTTCATCAAGAATAACATATCTTTTATTATCTACAAACAAACCACCTGGATGAACATTATTTCAGCTGATATTCCTCTTGAAACATGGTGGATCTTAAAAATCTATAAATGGGACTCCCTTTATAGAAGCTTTGAACTGAATTTACACTTCTTAATGCTGATATTGATACATTCTGATACTCATAGCATCTTTCTGTTTCACCTCAGGGCTGAAAAGAAATGAGATGTCATGGTGTATCATGATGATATTGATACTTTATCCATACATTTTAAGAAAAATTTTCTCTCTACAGTCCTTGTTGCCCCTTTAAAGTGAAACTAATAGCCAATGGACTAGGCGTGTATTACCAATAAGAAAGAATATAAACTCCATTGGTATACAGTAGAATGAACACGAACCTAGAATACTATTCGGGAAAATGATTATAACTTACTTTTCAGAAAAGGTTGTATTCAGATTACAAATATTTGAGTAAAATTGAGTCTTCGATAACTAAGTAGTCTATTATACATGTAAATCTCCTAGAATCTCATTAAAACGGGACTTTTACGAGATCAAGATTGCAAAGCTGTTTCCCCGGGGCTGTTTCGCAGTCTTGAGAATGGAATAAAGCTCGTATAAAAGAAATGTCAATCATAAAACCATAAGCATTACTTAATTGCTCTCATTAATAAAGATAAACCTTAATAGAAATTAACAGACTTCAAAAGATATATTATAGGTTTTAAAAAAGTATAATAAGATGTTTTACACCAATTATTGTTTCTGTTTTAGACAATGAATTGTTGTGCTCTGGTGTTGTTATTTTCTTTTTCTGTGGCTGTTGCCATGGATACAAGGTCAGTAAAACAAGTTCAAATTTTTTTTGTACAACCCTATTTATAAAGAAATAACAGTTCTCTCAATTGCACTTCCCACTAAAACGCTGACAATCGGACGTCTTTTAGCCCGCGTACGTGTAAAGTTTATGTTAGTTTGGCAGTTTCAACAGATTCAATAAAAGGATTGTGCCATGAGATGATATTCTCTTGGTCACATGATACAGATTATGCCATGAGAGATGATATAGCTAGCCTACTCTTGGTCACTTGATACAAAAATATAACGCTTCCATTTTCTTGTAATGCTTCAGATGTTGGTCAAGAGATACATATGCAAGAGCCATCGCTGTGTATGAATCCGTAGGAGCATTCTGCAAAGTCGAAGAAAACTCCGTGGACAATTGTGTCGTTATATCTTGCAAACAGGGTGGGCAAAAATTAATGTAATCTACATGAATGTAACACTGTCCATTCCAAATAGATAGGTTTAGTTTATTCTTGACGGGTAAATCACACATTAGAACTGGAAATGGATGACTTAAAGTGTCAAACACATTAATAATAGCCCAATTTACACTACGCGCAGCATTCCAAGACGTTTTGGCTAAAACGTTTTAGAAAAATTAAGTTGAGTTTACATTACCATTTTCAAGACGTCTTAGGAAATAAGATCGAGTTTACACCTACTTTCCTAAAACGTCTTAGAGATATGTAGGTATACATGTAAAATGAAAAAAGCAGTTCAGTACTGGTTAGAGGACGTTTGTAATGATATAGCTTTGCAATGCTTTGTAATGAAGATTTTATGCATAAATTAGGATTATGATAAATCGCCAGGGAAAAAAGTTCTTCTCAATAATTTTGGGATGATATTGGGAACAAGGGATAAGACAAAATAAAGAACCATGCGACATATGTAAATGGAAAGTTTCAAATGTTTCGTTCGGCGCAACGCAAAAAACCGGGCTAAGAGCTCTTAGCTAAAACCGATGGATTTACTCTTGCTTGTAAAACGTTTTAACGCTAAGACGTCTTGGCTATGACTAGGGTCCTAAAACGTTTTAGCTAAGCGCTCTTAGCCGAGAGCTCTTGGGTAAATCTGGATTTACATTACATTTGTAAAACGTTTTAACGCTAAAACGTTTTAATTAAGACGTCTTAGCGCGCTAGTGTAAATCCACCAAGTGTCTCGAATGAATCTATCAACGTAGTGTTGTTATCCTACGCCTTTCTCTATAGTTTTATTCATCGGTTTCTTCTAGATTGTTCTGGGTATGAGTATGGCGCTAGCTGGAATGGCGACCATGGGTTAATATGCGCATGTCGCAATGCAAGAGACATCTATAGTGAACTACCACAAGACTTAGCCGACGATTTTGTCCCAAGAGTTGGCGATGTGTTGATAAAGCAATGTGCTCTCTACGGTGAGTTTTTTCTTCATTTCGATCAGTTCGTCATCTATTTTTAAAAGAAAACCTATTTTGTGTTTGGAGCAATAGGGAGGTTAAGTTACCGCTGTTTTGAAGAACGTGTGCGTGCAATGTGTAAAATCATGGCCCACTATGGACTATTTTCACCTCACTGCTCTGTATTTGCCCAATTCAGTATGAAGGTGTTAGGAAAATAGTTGAAATAAGGTGGCCGTTTACATCAATTGAGAATGGATCACAATTTATGGGGGTCATGGTAATACATGTTCACGTTCAAGTTCAACGTGTAGCCTAACCTCCCTCGTGTTTTAATGAATACCATGGCCTAAGACTGCATTGTTCCCTTTGGAGCCTTAGGTTTGGTTTACCCATTTCACACAATTTTCTTTTCTGTTTTGAAGGATGTATGTATAGAAGCCAAATTTACAAACCGGGTGCTGAAATCAGGCTACGTGGATTATGTACTTGCAAGCCAATGGAGGATCTTACGGCACGCGAACGCCAAGCATTGCCAGATGGTAGTCTTTTTGGATGGTCTTGTGTTTGAACAAGCAACACAAAATAGTATTAATGACATACTAGAGTTGCATAATCAATACATTATCAATATTACTCTTTCAAACTTTATTTCATTGTACAAAAGTAAAATAAAATACATGGAAATACATCCCGTCATGTTGATGATCTTAACACGTTTTATGTGACAGTATTTCAGCAACATTTCAGCATTCTTAATACATTAGAGTAGCATTAACCTCCGAACATAAGGGTACAAAACACGAAATATTCTGGATTTTGAAGCCCTGCGATCGGAAGATGGGAGTAGCATTGTCAATGCGGTATTCCAGTACAGTTCTTCATATAGAAGGGAAATTAGAACATGATTTAAGAGAATTTGTACATGAATGTGTATAATTTGAGTGTATGAGTCTTTCGTGCAGTGTGCAAATGGAGGAAATAAACATGTATTGATTTGCACGAAACCATGGGTCCTACTTCCAGTGGAGATATTTCTAGAACATCCGTCTTCACATTTACAGAACACGAGAGGTAAATTCATATGGCATGTCAACATCGCCGCGTATGTCCAAATAAGGGACCTCGCCCTGGACTGTTAGATCAACATGACCCCTGATGCTTGACTTCTGAGAGGATGTTGACAAAGAGTATGACTGTGCATATGACCCTGCATTCTGTTGATCGAGGAACATCTTGATATCATTGAAGTTAGTTGCCATCCAGTCGATGTTAGTCTGGACGCGGTTCAGGAGTGTTGTCATGTATGCATCTAGGCCCTTTCCTCGGTGCTTGTCTGCCAATGCCTGCAGCTGAAAATACAATGGTTTCATATACATGCATGTTAAAGCCCAATGCTAAATCAATTATGGATGATTCAAGCATGAGAGTTTTGTTTGAGACTTTGAATGAGGACTACAGTCCGAAATCAAAGGCTAGTATTCAATGCAATAAGTGCATTGAATCACCCACTAAAAATCTATATCAAAACATATTCACATTGTTAAATCAACATGATTTATTTACGTCATAATTTTTGGCTTATCTGTCTCCATATCTTGATCCATACAGCGTATTTTTCCTCCTACTGTATTTGTAGTATGTATAATTTTATGTTTCAGTATAAGTATTATCATTTACCTTTGCTTTCTCTTGTACTGTATTGAACTTCTCTGTCAATGCTGTCATGACATTTGCCCAGAAATTTAGAGACCTAAGAATGAATGCAATAAACATTTTGTTGCATTACTTAAAGCAATTTTGGGGGTTTTAGTAGAACTAATTTCTGGATATAGTTGGTAATTGGTATCATTAGAATGTGACTGCAGTTATACTTTATTTTTGTGTAATACTTGATCTTACTTTTCATAAGTGATAGTGATAGGGGAATATGTTTAGCTTGACTCCTGTAGATATGAATGGAATAGTGCCAGGTATGTTAATAGTAGGTTAATCCGGTAGCCGACAGCCGAAAAATGCATTTGCGAATTCAGTCTAAGACATCTTGCACCCAAAAGGTAAAAAGAAAAGCAACGAAATTAATTATACCAATTAACAAAGCTAATATAAAAACAATGCATTTTCTGCTTACTTTCCATCTGATCCTATGTTTTGATCAGCTGTGTCCCATACCATTCTCCACCCTGCCTCATTTCGTGCTACTCTCTGTACAATAACATCAATATCGTTGTTGTATCCGTACTCCATGTATCTGTAAGCAGTACCAAGAATATGGACATAAGTAATCTTGTTGGAAGTAGAATTAGAGACAACCTTCAATATGGGGCTTCACCGAGCTGTCAAAGTGCAACACCCTTGGACCAAGCATGAATCAGAGACAAAACTCATACAAAACCTCGTATTAGATACAATTAAGACTGGTACTTACTTTCTAAGCAGCCATTCCTCGTTAGTGCATGCTAAAGCATCGCCCTGGGCTCCTCTCTCGTAGGCAATATAATCAAGACTGTTGCCCAGAGTAACGTAAAGGTTGAAGATGAACTCCCATTCTGCAGCTCCTCCGTTTCGGATTGCATTGCAATAAACGATTCTTCTAAGATTGGTTGATATACTGCAACATAGTGAGGTGTTTACTAATGACGTTACTTATCGTATATGTCTTGGAAACGTGTACATTTACGATCCGGTGAACCAGTGTGAAATGTGTACTTATCAAAATCACACGAGTGTTGTTCACTTTTAATTCTAAATACATTGATTAGGGATGCAAAATAAAAAAATATGTTAATGTTTGTTGCTGATAGAAACGTCCATAGTAAACTTAATTACGTTAGGGATAAAACGGAAATAAGGGCAGTAAATGAAATGACTTACGGATTCGTGGTTGAGTTAGTCATATAAGCTGCGAATTGTTTTACAGATTCATCAAGGCAAGGCTTGTGACGATTCCTACAAGCTTCTCGCAAAATGATAATTCTCAAATATTTCTCTGTGTGTTCGGTTGCAGAGGAATCATCCCAGCCAACAAAGCCATAAGCTGGAGCAATACGTCCCAGCATGTATTTCTAAAACAGAAGTTTGGATCAGTGAGAAAGAATTTTCCAGTGGAGTCCTGTTTTTTAATAATTTAACATCATGTTAAACAAAAAAATAAAAACCAACAAGGGTAAGATCGTATGAATGGAACCATACACTCCCCACAATAAGTTTGACAACCTTCCCAGTTTCTTAGTACACCCCCTCAATAGGTTTGGCAACCGAAAGTCCCTTTTGTTCGCTTTTTTAAAAGCCTGTTTATGTCTGGTGATTGAAAAACAAGTCACCATATTTACCATTGTTATTAAGGAACTTAATTGGAATCCAAATTTTTACAGGATTTGATATGCTACCCCATCAAAACTTTCGGTTTTCAAACTTATGGAGGGAAGTGTATGTCAATCACTTCATTATACAAAAGTAATTATGTACTGGATAAAGCATAAGAATGAGATTTTATAAGAAATAATGCACCGAAGGCCGAAGGCCTGAGGTTATTATTTCTTATCAAATCGAATTCGAATGCTTTATCTTACTTAAATCACACACATTCTTATTACAGGTAAATGGTATATTGCAGGTAAATGGTCAATGATCTTATCTGGAAAATTTTATTTCTTTTGTGTTGACTGTTCATGTAGGGGTAAGTGGTTTGATACATGTAAGTGAGTGAGTTCTTTTGACTTGACTGTTCATGTAGTTATTTAGCCAATTAATTGTAACAACAAAAAGAGTTGGTTGCATTGACCTCATGAGTGTGAGTTGATGTAAGTGACTGAGTGGGCTATAATTAGTCTAGCTTCAGTGCACTACAGGTGACTGTCCAGTCCAGAACATTGCATTTGAATACAGCAGAATATTTGTAAGTAAGATAAGATCAATGATGTAGATAGCAACAAATATTGATAAATTGTTTTATTCTAAAGAATGCACAGTAACAAGAGAAGGGTACATGTATTTTTGTATATTGTTTTTAGGGAATGAAAACTATCAAAAACTGTCAATGGTCATTTATGTCTCACTTGTTTTTGATAGCTTGCCAAGTGTACATTCTTTAAAAACAATAGAAACATAATGCACTTTCCTTTTGATAAAACCATACATTCTTAAAAATAAACCACAGCAAATTCTATTGTGTTGCTACCCAAGTGGGATTTAAAAAGTAAATAAATGTATTTACTGAGTAATCTCCATATGTGACAGTGCTTCTCAGCATCAAATCGATGTAGTCCAGTCCGACATAAGCAGCGTACCATGGCATATACTCTTGCTCGCTTCCTAGATAAATAGTTGTCCTCAAAGCCTGCATTTCACTCAGTTGACCAGCTCTGTAAAACGATAATGCAAAATAATTTCAAGTTATATATTAAAGGATTCAAGCTATTTGTGTTCATCAAGAGACCATGGTCACAACATGATCATTTAGTAATTAAAATAAGAACTGCTGAGAATGATGGCTAGTGGACAAATGCCTTGGCTTACAAGATGATGATGTCCATGAAGTCTCATTATGATTTCCATAGATTTTGTATTGTAATTATAAAGAGACTTTCTTGATACTTATTTTTTTAATTTCGATTGTATAGAGTACATCACGGCATTGATATGAAGTTTTTCAGGCAGATGGTGTATATTCATTACGAGATAGTCTAGCCACAAGCCCTCGTGAACCCCCTCCTCCCACTACTGGGTGAGAGGGTGGATGGTCAAGTAGAGGGGGTCACAGAGGCTTATAGCTAGACTGATCAACAGGTAGAGTATATCTAAGTGATTTAAAATAGCAAATCTTACCTCGCCATTTGGAAAGCATCGTCTACGATCTGAGCTCTGTTCTCTACGGCAAATGCCTAAAACAAAAAACGAAATCTAACAAATATGCCCTTTGAGTGTGAGTATTGATTTGAAAGTTTAAGATATGATCGAACTCAATCCAGCTAGCACCATAACAAATTTGAAATATATGGGCTGAATATGAATGGCCAGTTTTGGTAGACCGATTACAAACTCATCTCATCTCTCCGCCTTACTCATACCGTTAATGCCTTATTGTCAAAAACCATGACTCAAAATATAGCTTCATTAGTAGAGTTCAAATCAGATTCCAATCGCCGTAAACTAATAGAGTAAAGACATGTTAAGACCTACAGAGTTATCAGCAGAAAGTTGTGCGAGGATTGCATCCCAGTTTTCCAAGTTGTACTTCACTCTGTAGTAACCTTGGCCCTCTACATTCACCAAAAACCACTTGGACATGTCCGTAGGTGCTGCTGCAACTGGCTTCGTGGCCTCTGTTGAAAAAAGGTAAAAATGTGGTTACATTGGAGAAATGGGGAAACCCAAAGATGATTCAATAGTTTTTGTCTGTTTTGAAAAAGCGTGGAAAGAGAGCATTTAAGGGTACGACAACTCGAACAAATCGAACAAGTCGAACAAATACAGCATCCCAATGTTCAAAGGTAAAACGAAACTTTATATATCATAACTTGATAAATGATAGGTGGACAATATCATATTGTAGCTAAAGGGTTATAGGTAAAGTGTAGGTTAACTGACGGCGTCAATGCGGTAGCCTGACGTCCGTCAACAGCAAAGATTAGGTGGAGAACTTGTTTTTCTTATTGCATGAAACAGATAGTAGTAACTTGACGGCGTCAACGCGGTAGCCTGACGTCCGTCAACACCAGGGATTGTTTGTACATAAACATTTTATTTGTTTTTTTTATTATTATATGTAACATAATTATTTCAACCCCTTATGTAATATTTTATATAACACATGTAAACACACCAATTCTGGTGGATAAAATAAACATAAATAAATAAACCAACTTCCCCACCCCTACCATGAAGAAACCATTATCTGTATGGAAATACTTGTTTCTAGACACTGATGATCAGAGAGAGGACGCAAGAAAGCTAAAGTACCAAGACAGTTGCATTATGTAACTCACCTTTCTCGTTCATATACATCCACACTTTATCCACACCAGCACTGGTTTGGTAAACAATAGGAATGTTCCACATGTACGATCTGAAATGTCATACAAAAAATTATGATTTTACTAACAATATGTACTCTAGAGTAATGAGCGTTCTACAAAATTCTATAGAATTGAGGTTATGACAATTTAATGCAAAGGAAATAATGATTTTACTAACAATATGAGCGTTCTACAAAATCCTATAGAATTGAGGTTATGACAATTTAATGCAAAAGAAATAATGAATTTACTAACAATATGATCGTCTAGCAAAATGGTGTCGAGTTGCTTTTATGGCCATTTAACACAACAACAGACAAGGTGTCCATAACGTAATGTGATTGTTTTCCATAGTTTGGTTAAAATATGATAGAAATTGCCTCTTGTATAAAGATAATTGATATTTACTGGCACATGTCCTCTGAATGCTTCCAAAGAAATATTAAAACCAATTACCCAAATGGAGATTCATCTTTGAGTGTAATGTTGGCATCATATAAGAAGTGATCTTGCTTAAAGGTAACCTTTCCATCGTAATTGTTTGTAACTGTTAAGACAGGATAACCCTGTTGCTCAATCCAAGTATCCATAATGTTGGAGAAGTTGGTCGTCTTGTTATCCCATGAGTCTACTTGATCCATAATTGCTTGCTTGAATGTAATCATGTTAAATTCTAAATTAGGAAGCAACATAGAAGATTGTGCTTTTGTTAAACAGGGGATTTTAACAGCAAAAAATAATTCAGAATAATGAATCATAAATGACTTCATGAACTTACAAATCTTTAACTTCATGAAAGGTACTGTTAATGGCCATCCCAATACAAATTAAACAACAAAGAGTGCTAAGGTGATAAAAATAACAACATGTCACGGAATAGGCGATGTCAAATAAGGTATACTTACATCTGAGAGAACTTTATAAAGGTCTTCATGTACGGCGTTACTATAAGCATATTTCTTCAAGTATTCCTGAAAAATAATTAAAAATATGATCAACAGATTAAGTTTATTTTAAAGAATAATGAGGATCTAGTGAACTGATAACAATGCACACCTTACCTGATGTGTCTGGTTTTAGGTGTCGTGTTTAGTGTGTTTTCTGCCCGTTTTCTGATAATAGGAAATACTCACCGACAATCCTCTCTTGAATGTTTCTTCCCCAAGGAAGTATTTCATCATCCTAATTACAGATCCTCCCTGAAATGTAGAAAATAAATTTAAGACAAAATTCAAAAAGGTTGTAAAAATGACGTGCTATGATTTTGGAAGAAATTCCACAAGAATTGAATCAATTATTCAGAAATTATGATCAATTTGCTCCAAAACTGACAACGTTGAATAAGTTTGTTGTGGTGGCCTTTTTGTAATTTTAAATTCAAAATGGCAGCCCCTTGTCGGTTTCTTTATATCATGTTCAAAACATTTTAAAACAAAATATGAGTGATAATAAGTATGGTATTTATCTATGGGTTCTTTAAGCAATACCAATAGAGCAAATACTTAGATATACTATCCTTTTTTCTCCATATTTCACATAAAAAACTAAATAAATATTTTTAGAAATTTCTTGTAGATTTATAAGGTATACTTTTTCACTCTATTTGGGGTAATGTTATATCAAGACACCTCCTAAATCGTCTATATGGTAGATATATATCTCAACATACCTTGCTATAAGTGATAGATGCAAACGCTTTGCCCAGTTCGGTATGATGCTCGATATCTTTGACAAATACAGGTTGTGAGTCGCCTCCATCTCGTCTCATGATGCTCTGTGCAACACGAAGAGCAATCTGGTTCTGTAAGAAAGATGCCACGTGGTAATGTTAGAGTCATCTGAGCATTGTGTTTCTTTTGTCGAAAAATAATGTTATATATTTATACAGATAGGTTGTTAATACTTACCTGACTCGATATTCAAGTAGTTCATACAATTGAAACAAATTTTCAAACAGAAATAAATCATCATTATTTCGTCCCTCAAGTATGACGATGGGTGACTCAAACAAAATTACCCATAATACAGGCTTGCAAAGTATTAAGACTGTAATAATCCATTCCTGAAATGAAGTTTATAATAGTTTACCATTTTCCATGTAGGTTCGACTGCATCAACTCCTGGGCTCTCGAAATATGTGGCAAACCCCTCGTTCAGCCAAATGTCATCCCACCATTCCATTGTCACCAGATTACCAAACCACTAAATACAAATGAATATTAGAATACTTCCATACTGTAACAATATTGCTTAATAATATTGTTTTAATTAACATAATATTTATATATATGAAATATATATGTTGTACAACATGGTCACAACAACTTAGATTGCCGTTTTAATACATAGAAAACAAAAGCACTAAACTAAAAATGAAAATTAATCGTTGTCATAGAAAAATTTAATGAAGCAATAAAAGTACACGTAAGTTGGTATATTATATATAAGGAAACTTAGAACGAAAATTATATGTCTACTATATACCAGGACTTTATAAAGTTGCACACGGGATGCACTTTGGGTATCACGCTACACGTTGTTCAAGATCTTGTAGTGCAAACGGAAAGTTGTAATAATATATTCTATAAGGAAATATCACGACAATATAAATTACTCATTCCTAGCTGCAAGTACAAAGTAGGTGTATTCTTAAAAGAAATTACCTATACTAAGTTTCAAGTGGTACGATGGTTTATTCCATAATTAAATATCATGCATGGTCTTAAAAGAAATTATGTATGACATAAATCCCAAAGAAGGTGTAGTAGCGGGGCGTATACAAGGTGACCCAAAAACGTTTTGTAATATCTTTTATGAGTGCTGTACTTATATTCATCTATGATTTTAAGATTCAGAGTAATCACGTTTCCGCCCAGGTATGCCCTCATGTGGAATCGTCTAAAAATGTTCAAAAATAAAGTTGAAATTGAGTCCTGAAATTGGGATAGCTGCCTTAGCCATTGTTTGAGTCATTTCTGGATTCCTTTCACACTGTGTTCCATATATATTATCAATAATATGTTATATTTACCCACTTTTCTAAAATAAGAAATACAAATTATCTAATGCCTCCGTCTCATTTAATTTACGGCAACTGTACGGCGACCGTAGCTTACCAAAATTGAGAGAAATATGCAGCATAAAATATAGGGATAAGCAGTTCGATGTAGATTTTCTAATCTATATCATCGAATTTTTGAAGCTACACTGAACGGTTAAGTCGTTGATACAATGTAAGTAAACACTCAAGAAAATTCTTTCATAATTGGGAAAGTTATTCCAAAACAAAGGGTAACGTTTTTGCGGTCACCCTGTATATATTCAGACATGGGGACAGGCATATTTAATGGTATCACAAACCTGATGTGCAAGTTCATGGACAATCACTTCAGCAATGGAGAATTTATCAGCCTGTCTGCAGTATTTGGGATTAAACAACATTCTTGTATTTCTATATGTAACTAAGCCCCAGTTTTCCATGGCCCCGGACCGGAAGTCAGGAATCACAATTTGATCTGAAATTCCAGAGAATTGTAGAAATTTTAAGGATTATATTACAATTATTAGTGAACATTCCCGTCGAAAGTCCTGTTCTTATATCTTTTTGAATGCTACCCGTTCATGCCTTTCCCGACGTGCTACCCCATCCCTTTTTGTACACGCATAATGTGAACTACTTGGCATTTGATTAAAATGAGAGCCATTGTCGATTAACAGAGATATTTGACTGGTGAAGTGAATATCCATTACCTGCACATCAACATTAAATCTTCCGACTTGTCTTTGAAATCATATGATATCAGATAAAACTTAATAAGAAAAAATTTATTCATAATCCACTTTCTCTTTGAACACAATCAACCAATTACATGTAGCTCCAATGTAACATTCAAGTGGATTATCTCGGGCTCTACTCAGCCAATCACATTCATTGTAAAGTTCAAGTGAATTATTACATTTTTGAAAATGGTTTCTATGACACAATGGACGGATAACTTGAAGAACAGTAAGATAGACTATCTAGTATACATGTAAACTTCTTATACAATGGTTGGTGTAAGTATTATAAACAAATAATGTTTATCAGTCAAGTATGTTCTCATGGTTTAAGTTAACAAATGTTGGAACTTTCAACAGGTTAGGACTTAAATATTAGAGTCCATTTCACTGCTTCATTGCGTCAGTAGAATGGCAAAAATAAGAAATTGGGAGTCCATTGTGCAATAATATATGGAAAAGTATATTCATAATGTACATGGATGACATTTGTATATTTCAGATTTTTTAGTTTTTTGTGCAATAAGCCTGTGCTGTCTTGTAATTTGAAGAATTTCAGCCATGTTAATCTTATTGAAAATAACATGGCAGAGAAGCATCCAAATATAAGAGGCCATACACTTTATAAGCCAAACTAGAAGCAATCCAAGATATACAAATGTCAATCATGTACAAGAGGAATATATTTTTCCATATATTATTGCAAAATGATATTTTGATTTCTTAATTTTTAGCTTTTACTGACGCAGTTAAACAATGAAATGGACTCTAGGATAAACCATAAGGTGCAGGGAATGTCACGTTATTTCAGCATGGGCTTTCAAGAGAAGAGCTCGTGATTGACAAGGGCGTCACTGAGATCTTTGTGTAAACTACCTGATGTCCAAGTTCGTGAGTAATGACTTGGGCTACACGGAATTTATCACTTGTGGTGCAGAAACTCGGATTAACAAGTATGGACGTGTCTCTATTGATTATGAGGCCCCAGTTCTCCATGGCCCCAGCACGAAAATCAGGAACAACAATTTGATCTAAAATTTTACCGGAGTCGAACACATAAAATTTATTATTCAAATACGAATGATTGAAAATGTATTGTTAGTTTGTGATAACAAAACTAAACAAGACATTAATCTGACAAAATGTCACCACCAGTTCTCTTGTAAGCTGTAAAAATTTGTTACAAACGCCGAACGCCGACCACCAAGCATCGTCCACAAAATGGTGGAGACTATAACAATAACACTATTTTGCTAGGAATTCTTTAATTCCAACTCTGAGCCCTTCAAAACTATTCCCACCATTAATTGTACTCTATTAATTATCTCATCAGTGTCAAATCAATAAGTTACTGATTAAAAGATATATGAACCCAACAAATAAAATCGACCAAATCGATCCGAGCGAGTACAGTAGTTACTTCTTTAATGAAATAGTTTAGTTCATACATAATTCTAATAGTTAATTTAGGGGTATATTAAAGAAATCTAATTTTGAATGATAATTTGCTGATCGTTTCAATTTTCAACCAACGCTATCTGCCCCCCCCCCCCCCCTCCATATATTCAATGCCGTTTAAATGGTATTAGTACAAACGTATATGTAACTAACCATGGGCTTTCAATTAGATGAAAGCCCATGACCTGACTAAAGACGAACCTGTATAGGGAAGTGGGTATGTAATGTTGTAATAATCCTCTAAGAACTCCATAATCTCTCCACTGACCTCGAGTGCATAATCTACATAATCAATATAGTCAGATCTTGCCCAAATCCTGAACTGCAACCAAAAATAACAATGAGCAGAAATGGTTAAAAGGGCATAATACAACACACCATGGAAAGGAAACACACTGATTGTTATTTCCTCGATTTCAAAAAAGCTTTTGATAGAATTTAAAGACAATTTGCTTAGCTCAATGGATTACTCTACTGCGTTATTAATTATTACATAGTGTCAAGGTTTTTATTTTATTCTGCGTATGATAACATACTAGCATATCAGATCAATATTATAAACAATAAGCATCATTATTCAAGGATGCACGTTACACGTACCATTGTTCCTCTTGGAGTTGTTCTTTCCTTGTACTCAAAGTCACATACAACAAAGGCCAGAAGATAGGTAGACATGACAACTGTCTTGTTGTAAACATCTGCTACCCAACCATCTCCCCTGTAAGGCACCACATAACCCATAAAAGTTACATCTTAAATACAGTGACCTCCACACACAAACAGTAAAAATGTTGAGTACAATAATAAAGTAGTACAATGTTCCTTTGTACCATGTAGCTGTTATTAAATGCGAAGAATATAATAATCAAAAATAAATACTATTGTCATCTTTTAAAACGCAATTGTGAAAAATGAATTCGAAGTCATTGTGAATGACTTTGAAAATGAGGAAGATGCCATTGCAGATGATGTTGGTCAAATGTATAAAGCTGCTGTAGAGATCGCTATCCAATTGAAAAAAATTTAACATTGACAATATCATTCAAGACAGTTGAATCAATCACTCTTAAGAGTAAAGAACATCCGATGATACAGCTGATTTATTTTAGATTTATTCATGGAAGACCATGGTGCCAATAAACATTTTTTGTTTTTCTAATCCAAAGACAATACATTCCAATTTATAAAAATGACAGAGGACAGTGAATAATAGTTTTGACTTGCATAGTATTTCAATTTTCCAATGTTTCTCAAGACTTTGTTCTTACCTTGTTTCATTGTACAATATATTCATGTTTGACAATGAACTCCACGCTGCCTTCCTCACCAAGGTCACATTGTAAGTGGCTTTCATGGCAGGTTCGTCGAAGCAGGGTACAGCTCTTCTGGCGCCAGTCTGTTCAAACTGAGTCGTAGCAAGATATCTGAATAGCATGAATATAGAAACATATGAGAAACAAAAAATCTCATGCTGTCTTCTTTGGTTGGTGGTTCTCCAATACAAAAATACACCAGTGTGGTGCACATTGAACTTTATCCCAAATTGGATGCATGCCTCTCTTTGGATTTTACGTTTGTTTACAATTGTTTTGAAAACGAGAAACGAGTAATTTTATTTAATGCAATGCTTACTCTTAATGTTTTCCGATCCCCACATTCAACCTAACTCAGACCCAATTTCTATATTTTCCATCTCTGCTATTTCTCATGGAGATTAGCAGTTTTTTCAGTTATCGGGATAGAGGTCCATGAATCATGTAACTGTATATCTATCATTATAAATATATCAAACAAGCCTGACAACCAACCGCCAATTGCCGTCCACAAAATATTGAACACTTTTTTAACAGTATAACAATGTCACAACTTCTGGTGGTGACATAATAATGAAAATAAGATCTATTATACAGAGGATCAGTGAACTGTTGTACCTTGTAGTATTAGGGGAGGCCATGGGTGTGTATGAACTCAGGTAAAAGCCTTCGTAGTCTGAGTGAAGAAGGGTGCCGTTATATGTCATGCTCAGCATATAGTTGGTGGAGACAACGAGAGTCTCTGCCAAGTAGAGTTTGAAGTGCTGCCTATCAATATCGTAACTCCATCGTGTTACAGCAATCTATCAAATCACAAGAATATCAGTTTGTGAATGTCTCTGCAGTGGCATTCTTTGAGACACACTCCCCCTCCAAAAATTTCGAAATTCTGCCCCCCCCCGCCCTCAATGGACTTCCTGTTTCCGAGCTTTGGAAGGGGGTGTACATAAATTAGGTCTTAGATCAAATATGGTTAATGCCGTCAGGTAGAAACAATAAAAATGAATTTGATTACGGTTGTTTATGGGCAACCAAATGTTGAGGGCATACAAAAAATTGTCTAAACTGGGTAAAATCTGACAATGGTATGATACTAATTTATTCTATGTGCGTTGATTAGATTATCCTTGAATTGCATTATTTGGTTTCTTCTAAATATAAATCACCAATATGGCATTTTTTACAAATGCTAAATGACAAAAATGTTTGTTTTAGATATGAATAGGTACCTGGTTCGCAGCGTCGTCTTGGAAAACGATTGACGACTCGTTGACGGTGATTTGGTCAGTATGGAACACGACAACATCTGTTGCCATTTCGCATGTCATGTACATAGTTACCGACCCGTCTAGTCCAAACGTAGTCTCACCGTCGTACACGTACGGCTTCAGTTCTATATCGTAATGATAGGGTACGACAGTACTGTTGAGCCGGTTATTTAGAATCCTAGGGGCGGAGGTAGGTGCGGGTGTAGAAACGTCAGGTGTCGTTGGTGAGGTCTCCGGCACCATGGGTGATGACGTCATGGGCGACGCTTTAGTTGTTGTCCAGGAAGATGGACAGGCACCTTAAATAATAGTTCGTACTATGAAATTCAGATCACTATAGAATACAGTATACTACACTATAAACAGCACATCAAGAATAATGAGATTATCAGGCTCTATAAACAGAGTAAACCAGCATAAATGTGCAAATGGAAATCAAATTGAGAAAACTGATGCAATAATTTTAGCTTTTAGGACTTTTGAGACACTATGTAATGAGGGTCATGTTTTGACTTCCCAAAATACACCAGCAAGTTTTTTAGTAAGAAAATCGAATTTGAAAAACAAATGTACGGCACCCATAGTCTGAACACCATGTGTACTATCTAAACGTGTCTGTAAAGAGGTTTTTCTACTATTCAAAACACTTCTCTATAAATAATACTAAATGCCTACTAAGAAACCAATAAATATGATTTGATTTGGCAATATACATGCAATGTACAATGTACATGCCAATTATTTCACTATCATTTCAATATCTCGGGTATAACATAATGCTCATCTAAATAGAGTGACGATTAGATATTTTTGAATATATGTATATACAGGGTGATCCAGAAGTAACGTCAAAGACATTGTAATTTCAAAAGTATTCATCAGATCTTCATGAAATTTGGTATACATGTACCCACAACATTTCTGAGTTACCATCTCAAAGATTGGAATTCAATCATTTCATTGGTTGAAATTATGGTTGCTATAGTAACCCGATATCGCGTAACCCGGGGCAAATTGAAGAGAAACCATAACGTTTTTGTGAATTTCTCTAATTTAAAAAGTCAGTAACATTTGAAAATGTTCATTGTTTGTTTTCTATGATTTTTATATTTGTTGCCATGGTAACAAATATGTAATAGTTGTGATGTCACAATAGGCATTCATAAAAAGCTTTCAATTTCTTTGAATTGCTTCCATCATCCATGACAAATACTAACATGACCAAGGACACTAACCCACCCAATTTAAGATGGCGCCAAGTCAGAGTAAAATAGAGAAAAGAACAAACATTAAGTTCTGTGTAAAGTTGGGGAAAGGTGTAAAAGAGACTATAAGACAGATAAAGAAGGCATATGGTAAAGCTGCCATTGCTGAGAGAAACATTTACAGGTGGTTTAACAAGTATTCCAGTGGATATGATGAAGTGGTAGACAAGCAGCGAGGAGGCAGGCCAGTGTCGTCATTCGATGATCAAACCATCAAAGCAATTGAAGCTGATGTTATGGACAATAGGCAAATTTCTATCAGAGAATTGGCTGAAAAACACGATCTGAGCTATGGGACTGTGCAACGGATACTGACAAAGAACTGTCTGTTAAAGAAGGTGTCTGCTAAATGGGTGCTGCATGACTTGACACAGGAGCAGAAAGACCGGCGTGTTAAGGCTTCAAGGGACTTTCTTGCAAAATATCGGAGAGATGGAGATGACTTTCTTAACAAGATCATTACGAGTGACGAATCATTGCTATCATTCTACATCCCAGAGACCACGCAACAAAGTTCATCGTGGAAACATGACAACTCCCCAACACCAACCAAGCCTAAAATAGTACCAGGAATTCCACAAAAGAAACAAATGGTTGTGACATTCTTTGACATTAGAGGAATGGTGTTAACCCATTTTGTTCCCATTGGCCAGAGAATTAATGCCGTTTACATTGCAAAGGTAAGATATCATTTGTTCTAATAATACATCATACTGTGAATTTTATTTTTAAATTAAAGTATTTAAATGTTGTTCACTGTCAATATAATTATAACTCCATGGCCATGATTCAAATCCAAATCCAATCAATGAAACAACTGGTTTAACAACCATTAAACATTTGTTTTTCAGGTTCTGAAGCGTGATCTTCAACGTTCCCTGAGGAAAAAGCGTCCCGGACATCTGCAGCAGTTTATCTTGCATTGGGACAATGCCCCTACGCACACTGCAATCCTGACCAGCAACACAGTCCAAACACTTGGATTTCAACAACTTGAACATGCCCCTTATTCACCTGATCTTGCCCCCAGTGACTTTTATTTGTATGGGGAACTAAAAAGAAACCTTAGTGGAAATAATTTTCAATCCTGTGAGGAATTGAAAAATGCCGTAGTACTAGCCCTACAAGGAATGAGTTCTAATGGATTTAATTCTGTGTTCAAGGAATGGGTATCCAGACATGAGAAATGTGTTGCAAATGGTGGCAATTATGTAGAATGAACTATTATTAGTAACTGTGCAATAGTATGATTTATATTGTTGTGAAATAAAATGTTGAGGATATAACAATTTCAGATCTTGTTGATATTTTGAGATTACGCATTACACGTTAAGTAATTTGCCCCGGGTTACGCGATATCGGGTTACTATAGCAACCATAATTTCAACCAATGAAATGATTGAATTCCAATCTTTGAGATGGTAACTCAGAAATGTTGTGGGTACATGTATACCAAATTTCATGAAGATCTGATGAATACTTTTGAAATTACAATGTCTTTGACGTTACTTCTGGATCACCCTGTATACTTGTATATTTGGTCCCTTTTATCATTCAAAATTGCGCTAATTGATCAATAAATGAAATATACTGATATTATACCTCAAGAAATAATTCACTTTTCTGTTTAGTAACACGTGTTAAGTAGATGTGAGGTTTCTAGAATTGTTTTTGTGTGTTGAGTTTAGAAGCGAAAAAATCATAATTGACAATTTGAAACTATATTAATTGGAGTTCAATAACTTTACCAAATTAACATATCAATATTTGGTTACTTACACTCGCCCCGGGTCTCTGAAATTGCGAGACATTCTTGCCATTGAGCCTCGGGCGATATTGGGGTAACTCCACTACAGTCACATTTGCAATCAGGCTTGGGGACTGCAAAGTGAACGATAAGCCCAACGCATGCAATGACAGCGCAAACTAAGATGATGAGGATTCCGCAGACGCAGTGGCTAATGAATGTTCCCTTTTTGGCTTCCTTAATTGTTAACGCACTGCCCATTTCAAACTTTTCTTGGCTAGAATACATGGTTCACTATTTTTTCTATACTCAGTTTATTCCCCTCAGAGGAACACTCTTTTTTTTCGTGTGAACCTATGACTAGATATCCCAGTTGTGATATAACTGGGGTGTTCCGAGATGTATCCCTATTTTATCTTTGTCTCAGCGCAGATCACATTCAAATGCGTCATGAACCTTTGGACCTGCATGCACTTAGTAAGCAGCTTACACAAAAGTATTTTCCCTTGAATGACAACTGAAAGTTCCTCTGGTTTCAAATCGTTTTGTTAAAATTTATCACAGAAATACCATATAAGGCGTCATTTACGTCATCATTCCAACAGATGCAAGGCCGGAGAAGACTGAAAGAAGTGAGGAATAAGTGGAGAAAATACATAAAGTTGAAAATGTATAAAGAAATTGAAAGATCGAATAAAAGTTTACAACTTTCTTATCAGGAGAAATTAACAATAAAGATATCAACTGGGACTTATATCAGTTAAACTTTGAAGGGCTCTATATGTACACGAATGATGTATGTAAGTGTTTGAAATGGAGATTTATACAAGAATGATCTACAGATATTGACATAGCACAAACCATAGTCAGTCAAATGAAATAAAAAATATTCAACACTGTTCAAGTCTCAATTTTCTTTTTTAAAACTTTGATGTAGAATGGGTAGTTTCACTCCCATGGTAGATAGAGGGTGGGCAAATAAAAATGGGACACTCAAATAGTATAATAAATAGCATATTCTATTTAAAAGAGCAGGTATGAACCAAATGCCATGAAAATTAGGGAACACCAGTTTGAACCTTTCTGCTCATATATGTAAAATTTCAAATCAAGCCTATTGCAAGTTTTCATCATTTTTTCCTTAAAGTGTCTCACATATTCTATCAAAATTTGCCATGCAAACATGTTAGTCTACTTTACTGGCCCCCCTTGCTGTAACAAGGAACCCAAAACACATTAAAACGTAAACATAAACCAATTAGTCACTTCACTTTCAAAGTGGGGGTGTTAGCAAATATATTAGCAGAATACGCTGTGTGCATGCACTAACACAATATCAGTGGTCATTTACTGTGTCAACTTAGTAACCCTTGCATATCGTGCTCACTCAAGTATTGAATAATTTTTTATGATCTAAATGTTTGTGGTTTATAAAAAAATGTGATATATTTTAGTTTGAAATACATTAATTAATATATTCATTCAAACAGCACTAGAATGCGGGAAGAAAGAGCAATGGTGACAAAATGCAGACAGAATTTTCCGTAAGGGTTTCAAACATTCCTGAACACAATCATACATGTACTTCATGTGTACTGTTATTTTTAGTGCTGTATTTATAGATATAATTTCACGTATTAAAATCATTTTTCCAGCAATGACTTCAAATTCGGAAGCACACCAATATCACATTTTCTTCAATAACTCCAAACATGTGTAAACATTGACCCTGTGCATATAAATTCAGATTTCACGAGCTCTTTCCTATTCGAGTACCTCATACACCCCTGCATGGATTTGAGTTGGATTCGCCTTTTATACGTGAGCCGACACACTCGCAAACGCTGATTGGATAAAGATTGCGAGAATCTTTAAGCAAGAAATTTGACGCATTCCCTCGAAAAACAGCTTTTGAAATTGCAGAATTCCCGATAATATCTAAAATTTACGTACAATTTTTTACTTCTCCGATCCGTATTTTTCCATTATTTTGCTCATATCTTGCCAAAATATCATTGTTATTTGTAGCCTAGACAATATTCTCCTTCATGTTACATGTGTTAAGAATAAAATGTGACAACATGTGACTTTCTATTATAGAAACTAACGTTTATTGGCCAGCTTGTATGAATTGTTCTAAAATTTTGCCAAAGCATGGAGCAATCGTCCTCTGGTTTTTGATACCTTGTCAAGTGTACATTCTTTAAAAAAAATTAGAAAAAAGAATGCACTCCTCTTTGTAACAGCTCGATATTCTTTAAAATAAACTACAGTTCTTTTCATTGTGTTGCAATCTAAGTGGTGTTAAATTAGATTAAAATACTATCCTATCTGTTGGATGTCAAGCCTTCTCATAACCACTGCTACACTGTACCTTCAATGCATTTCCAAGTCTTTAATTCTATCTTGAAATATCAAGTGGCGTCATCATATGGCCCGGCATATGGCACTATGTATTAATGCACCTCTAAATATAAAACTGTTCATCCATTCTTTAAGGCTTTGTATAAAAAACCTCCTACCTCATACCCACCTACCCACGCACGTGGGACATGATACAGTCTTTGGAGGGTTCAATTTTAAAGATCTTAGTTTATTAAATCTTAGTTTATGATGAATTATAGATGCATTTTTAACGTGCCTTGGTAGCAAGTTGCTACTACATCCCAGCTGGGTTCGATTCCCACTCGGGGCATCGAGTTTAGCACACTTCCTTTCAATTTCTTTATCTGGCTTGTTGGACCTATGCTCGCAGTTGTTAGTTATTTATTCCCCTGGGGCGCCCTTGGGTCATTACACATTAAAATGCATCCATATGCCTTTATTTATGGATCTGTCATCTGTCTAGTCATAAAATAAACCCGGCATTTTAGAGATGTTAATAATTTGAGCTATTTTGAGATTTCATAATCTTTAAAAATAACCCTTCAATGACTGTATCATGTTCCACGTAGGTGGGTAGGTGGGTATGAGGTAGGAGGATTTTTGTACAAAGCCATTCTTTAATACCAAGTTGACGTGTACAGTTCATATGGGTAGAACCAATGTTTAGTAATATTGTCCTTCATATCATTATATTTATTTTCTTTTTTCATGTTACTGGAATTTGTTTCTTGACTTTTCGAGTGTGTTTGGATTGATAACCTCTTTACTCTTGGATGCTTTAAATTTGAGTTTCCATTTCATGGACAAATTAGCCATTTCATTGATATCTGATTGAATTTTTTGATTTGTCACTTCAACTGTTTCATTCTTTGGTACTGTTAAGAAGACGGAACTGTCATCGGCATATAGGAAAAGTTTACAATTATGGACAGAGTCTGCTAAGTCGTTTATATATAGAAGAAATAAGAGGGGCCCAAGAATTGAACCTTGGGGAACCCCACTATTTATTTTTGGACAATAGCATCATTACCTTTGTTACCATAGAAACAGTAAAAATGTTAATGTTAGCGTAGTAAACAGTCGTATCACGTGAAACATTGGCAGGGTAGGGGAATAAGGTGGGGGCATATACCTACCAATGATGAAGAAGATTGGTTCACTATTTCATAGTTAGAAATGTTTGTGCAAAACTTTTTGAACCCTAATTCGTATAATTTTGCAGTTTATTCGGGCGCACTTTGTGTCTTTCTCACTCTCTTAATAAATCTAGGTTTAATTGTTTCAAGATTAATCGAAGGGTCTTAGGTAATCATGTCAGAGAATAGTCTGCTATATATTTTTTTAATTCTTGAGAAATGAAAAAGAGGTCTGATGAGTGGAGGTGTGAGTAAACGCCCGGAGTTAACCTACTTCAAAGGCTAAGAATCAAGAAATTCTAATAATAGAAAACATTGTATAAACAATCTATCCTCCTACCCCCCCCCCTCATCTTCAATCACATGTTTCTCATATTCAAGGCCGGCAAGAATGGATTTTTAAAATGTACTTTTTTAACAACTTTTAACAGAGGAAAACATCAAATTTGATCGTATCACTCCTTTAACACAAAGAGAGAATCAGTTCTAGCGAGCAGGCTAAATTTCAATTTTAATATTTTTCGCTCATGTCATTCCTTGTCATGTCTATTTTCTAAAAATCACAAAAGTGCATACTTTATTCCAGGAAAACTAAAGATTTTTACAATAATGCATTATTTTTCTTTAAGAATGGATACCATTCTTATTATTTGGGAGAAGTTTAAACGTTTTTCATCCATGCACTTTGAATCATTAGTTCACCAATTTATACTATATTGTGAATTGTGAATCTTTTGGGAGATAATAGTATTTGATATTGTAAGGAATTAGATTGGTAGGTCAACTATACATGTTGCTTGTAATTTTGTCACCCTCTATACATCTGATTCTGCCTTTAAATTGGTAATCAGTTAGTATTGCACTTGCACATGAACTACGAACTGTCAAGTGTTGCAGATAAGCACGTTCGGGATAAGCATGTATATGTCGTAAAATGAGCATCATATAGCCTCAAAGCAGTCGCGAAAATGGCAAATTTTGAGTTTTTTGACATTTTTGTCCACTTTTCATCTCAGGTGTATTAGCTGTCAAGGTAAGTGGGATACATGTAACAGTGATATAATTTTAATAGGATTACCAATTACAATGTTAAGTATAATATGGAACTGGACATATTTATTGCACATAAAATAAAGTTTGAATGGGTCTGTAAAAAATTTCGAATTTTTTTTGATCGCTTACTTTTTAGATTCAACGTTGTTTAGGGCGAAGCCATAGATGCTTGGTATATGGTTTTGTGGTAGTGTCAAAGTCTCATTAAATATTTATTGAGTTTCTGATATTAATACTAATCTGGACAGTCCATGCACGTAAGTCACCCCCCCTCTAATTTACCACTACCACTAGTCCAACAACATTAGATAGGCTGGGCCTCGTTTCTTATCTGACATGTCTTTATGGCCCAGGCTAGGTCTAACCTCCATGATCAATTTGCCTTTGATGTGTTAATTTAATCGTTCTGCAGGTTTCGACAAGCGCTAAGCCTAACATTGAATCTAAAAAATAACTGATCGAAGATCCACATTGCAACCATAGTCACCATCCATAGCCCAAGGGAAAGGTAGTATTAACTCAATATAGAAGTTTATGCCGAGTGTATATCTGCACTTTGAGACAGCCACTTTTTTGCTTTGAGACAATGTAAAGGCAGGTGTTTAGAATTAATTGAGGTAAGAAATATGTCTTTTTCAACTTTTAAACTCTAATATGAGGTTCTATTGAAGGCATCACCCGAACGAAGACATCATCCGATACGTTCCTTCGAGTTCCGGAGGCCTGTGTTCAGAGGATGTATTGAAGGCTGCCAACATTCCTGTCAGTGTGCCATATTGGATTATGAAATTATTTTTGTAAGTCTGATGTATGCTATTTTATATTTCAGATGAAATGGATTCAAAAACAAAAACCAATGTGGGTGAATGAGAACAGCAGCTAAAGCTCTAGACCTGTACACTTGGTGGTTATAGCTAATTTGGCAACACATGTGAATGACAGTACCATGACAGACCCAGTTGAAGAAGCATGTCTTCAACCAATGGTATTAGAGCCGATAATTTACGAGGCTGGAACATGTGAAAATCAAGAATTAGAAGTCCCTGTCTTTGATCATGTGACTGAAGTGACAGAAAACCCCATGATAGGATTCGAAGGTGGCATTGCTCCATTGAAATGTACTAATTGTGGGTCGAAACGAAAAGAGCCTAAATGGAAAAAAGTAGAAGATCCAAACCGACGTCAGTCAAAGCGTCTTGTCATCAAAAACTTTAAATTACCTTTTGAGGAACTCCCATTAGATTGCAAACTTCATATATTTTCATATTTAGATATATTTGAGAAGGGGGCAGTTTGTATGGTGAGTACACAATGGAGATCACTAGCCTATCACAGCAGTTCTTGGTCTTACATTAACTTGAGACTTTTCAGTTTGTGTAGCCATCAGAAGCAACATATTAAATGCCCAAGAACCTGCCAACCTACGGATGCCTACAATAGATACATGAGACGTTTAAGTGCCTTTTATAAGACACTCAGCCAGATAAAGCCAAATGTACGAACATTTATAATGACCGCTGATATTGATGAAACAAAAAATGAACCAAGTCCATGGCTGAGATTGATCATCAAACTACTTGAATCATTCAACCGTATTCGGCTCACTTACATTGATATTGACTGGACAGTATCACCATATAGACCTAGTACTCTTGACCGTTACTGCTGTCTCATCACTAAGGTATGTAGTATTTTATTATGTCACCACATATTGTTATAAGCTCCAACTTTTTTTGTGGGCGATGTTTGGCAGTTGGTGTTCAGCATGAGGTGGTTGGTGTTTGGCAGTCGGTGTCTGTAACAAATGGCAGATGGTGACATTTTGCATGTTTAACTTAATGGCTTGTTTCATTATGTGATTAATTCTGGATATATAGAGGTTCACTAGCACAAAATACAATATTTGTTTGTTGGAAAACTTTGTTTCTAGGGGGAGTTCTTAGTTTATAATGCAATAAGAAGTGATGACATTGAGTTTCTTCAAACTTGACATTTATAAAAAAAACTTAAAAAATGAAAGGAAAAAATGTATCTTACATTGTCGTATTATTTTCCTTTTGCATTTTTAACCTATATATATATTAATATATATTAATGACTATTTTAGGTACGTTCCTCTGTGCGGCATCATGAGGACAGATTGAAGCAGTTCCTGTCACTATTGAAGTATCTCACCAAACGACTCCCAGGATTGCTGTACCTAACAATGCCATTTCATTGGTCGAATATCTCATTAGGTCTCTTGTGTAAATTTCGACATCTTCAGAAATTAAATCTGAAGCATTATTTCTCATTCAAACCCCTGCCTCCGCAGTTTTTGACAGTCTTGTTGTTATGCCTACCACGTCTCACAGATCTCACTTTGGCTGTTGTCAATGCAACTTTCCAGACTCGACATGTATACAGGGTGCGTCATCCTAATCTACAATCTTTGGATATCACTCATTGTACAGGGTTTTTCATTCGTGACATGGATCTGCCTGCATTGAAGAACTTTTCAGTGAAGCGTAACCCATGGCAGGGGTATTTAGTAAACCCTAACTTTCTACCTTGCCTTTATGATGTCCTAAAGAGAGGTGCCCCAGAGTTACATGTGCTAAATAAGTGCAGACTCTACCCATACTGGAAGGAATTTCTGTATCTTGACTTAGACGCTGCGCTCAAGCATGCCTGTCCTTGTGTCAAACATGCAACATAAGAATAGAACACATTTGGTTAAATTATTCTAGTGAAGCTTAAATGTAAAATATAGTGAAATGAAATAAGTCGACAAACATGAAATGACGAGACACACCTATATAACTTGATAAAAATGATAGAATTTCAGTTTGGAACTTGTCATGTTGCTTTCTATCTGAGCAATTAAACTACAGTAAAACCTGTCTTAGTGGAACACAGTAAGACATGTCTAAGTGTAACACCTTTTGTACCTTCAAAAAAGGTGTTTTTGGAGGTGTTAGACTTATAGCGGTTCAGTTAACATTAAGTCAGTTGGTTTTGGGACTCTGAAAAGTGTTCCACTTACAGAGGTGTTCCACTTCTGAAGGTGTTCTACTTTACAGGTTTCACTGTACTGTAAATTGCTTTCATTTGGCAGACTGGGCAAATTTTGAAATTTTTGCTCCTATTTAATTTGGCGAATTGACGTATTACTTCACAGCTCACCACTGATAACACAATTTTATCTCTTCTGGTATCAGATTGTTTTGTCTGAACCAGCAGGGACTCTACCCATACTGGAAGGAATTTCTGTATCTTGACTTAGACGCTGCGCTCAAGCATGCCTGTCCTTGTGTCAAACATGCAACATAAGAATAGAACACATTTGGTTAAATTATTCTAGTGAAGCTTAAATGTAAAATATAGTGAAATGAAATAAGTCGACAAACATGAAATGACGAGACACACCTATATAACTTGATAAAAATGATAGAATTTCAGTTTGGAACTTGTCATGTTGCTTTCTATCTGAGCAATTAAACTACAGTAAAACCTGTCTTAGTGGAACACAGTAAGACATGTCTAAGTGTAACACCTTTTGTACCTTCAAAAAAGGTGTTTTTGGAGGTGTTAGACTTATAGCGGTTCAGTTAACATTAAGTCAGTTGGTTTTGGGACTCTGAAAAGTGTTCCACTTACAGAGGTGTTCCACTTCTGAAGGTGTTCTACTTTACAGGTTTCACTGTACTGTAAATTGCTTTCATTTGGCAGACTGGGCAAATTTTGAAATTTTTGCTCCTATTTAATTTGGCGAATTGACGTATTACTTCACAGCTCACCACTGATAACACAATTTTATCTCTTCTGGTATCAGATTGTTTTGTCTGAACCAGCAGGGACTCTGTAGATCTTCGAAAATACAATTTAGTTTAAAATTGACATTTTGTCAGTGTTTTCCAAATTTTACCAAATTGTTTTATTCTGCAAGGTTATGCGTAACACATTGAAAAGGCAATGAACGAAAATCCATGGGAATTATTTTCCAAAAATTGGCAGACTTAACATGACAGTTTTTATAAATTCGCCAAATCAAAACGGTCATCAAATTAAACCAATTTACAGTATGTGCAAGTTACCATCATTCTGAATTTCATTATTAATATTTATGTAATATAGGATCAGAGTGTAAGAGATTATGCCAGTTAAAGAGGAAAATGGCATAGTTGGCATGACCTGAATGGCATTTGATTGACAGATTGAAGCCATTGAATTGAAATTATTTCAAATATTGCTCAAAATTAAAAAAGGCTTGAATATTGTACATAGATGTAATAATTCTAAGAGATGTTTGTATATATATACATAATGTCATGCTTCTGTGTTTAATAGACATTTTCATTCTGAAATATGGCTGATGCTAAGCTGATTACATACAGGCCTTATAGGCTCATAAAACTGGGTATCTACATGGAAAACAATCTGGGGTGCATTCTTGTAACAAGTGTAATGACCCTTGATAGCGAGTTGCTTCTACAGCCAAGCTTTAATGATCTCTATTGTTACATGATGGGCCCCAGTGTACCTGAGTACACAGTGAGTATGACTAAATTCCCATTCAGCAAAGTTGCTACCAGGTTTCCAGAAGTACAGTGTAGATAGAGGGTAAACAAAAAATTGTAATTTTGTATAGACAAATATACTGTACAGTACTACAATTGAGTCATAAAATATGTTTTTATTATTAATATATATATATTTTTTCGTATATATTTAAACTGCCTTGTGAAGGTTATATTTAATTTAATTGCAATTTATTAACACATGTGATGTCTTTTTTCTTTATTTGTTGTTTACTCTGTTAATTTTTGTATGTGATTATTAATTTGGACATGAAAAACATGTTCACATGAATATGTGTTTTGGTCATCAAATGAAATAGGATGACAAATACATGTATATGAATTGTATATTTACAGATTTCAAAATGTATATTTTTTGTTGATATAGGCTCCTTGGGTTTAAATGTCTGTTTTGCAGTATTTTTTAATCTTCAAAATCTTAATTAAGCAATGCAGAAATATTATGCCAAAAATGAAGAAAAGCCAAATATTCCTTTAAAAGAGAGAAATGTTTGATCAAGCTGGTCTTGATGTTTATACAGACACACTGCTAAACAGGCATTTAATATATTAGAGTCTAAATCATTCATCATGGAATATCATGAGTGTAAATTTGCCAATATTTAGGTATCAAGTCAAATAAGATTACTATTTGAACTTATCCAGAGTTGTTTCTTTAGAAAGCCTCGGACATCTTGCATCAATTAAAAGATAAATGAATCATTGCTGCAGTAAGATATTTAATTAACAAGTGCCTGAATAGTACCTCTAGCTCTAAAAAGTGTTCCACTTGGGAGATGTTCCACTTATAGAGGTTCATTTTACATCAAGTCTGTTTGTCTTTGGACTCTGAAAAGTGTTCCACTAACAGAGGTGTTCTACTTTTAATCTAGAGGTTTTTGACTTTACAGGTTTCACTATAATTGTGTGTTTGATTTGTGCATGAAAAACAATGTATCAGTTCATTACAAATGCAAATGTAACATAGAAATAAACATTCATATGAAATGAAATTTATTTTATTTATTCTAATTATGAAATTATTTCCATAGTTAACAGTTAACACGATTCTAACATAGCAATCGGAAGAATAATCAGCCAGATACAAAAATAGGCATTTCAAATCTAAGTACAGCCGCAGATGCAGAAGTGCAAAATAGAATTGTATTTTTATGATTGGCTATGGGCCAATTTTCACTTTAGTCAAACAATTCAGTCTCATTACCAGTTTTAACCATGTCAATGTAAGTCTCTCTTTAAATGTACCAAATGCTCTTTTTCCTTCTCTTTGGAATTTACATTACATTGATCTCCCCAGGCTTTTTTCTCAACTGGATGTTAAGTCCTAATATAACCTGTTTTTGTCAATTTATCTATTTCACCTTTTTTGGCAGAAAGATTCCACCAGAGTGCCAGTTAATTTTCAGTATTTTCAACAGAGAGCAGCATCCATTTGCTAATGCTAATGCTAATGCTAGTGCTGCAGAGATCTTGACACACTACTGTATTCTTAGGAGCTGATCTACCCTGTATCAAATGCTGGTTCAAACATAATTGAACAAAAACAAATATTATAACCGTTGGAATGTTGAGTTTATTTACCTATACTCTTGATTAAAATAGATATAACATATAATACAATGGGTTTCTCAAAACATATCTCTTTGGTATGGTAACTCTTTCGTAAGGCATTCAAGTAGATTTCCAGGATTTAAAATGAGCCAATTAGAAGAGGTAAAATTAAAAGGTGAGGCAAATGAGGAGGTGTATTTTTAACATTGGACTTCATTTTCACAATTTCTGTTGGATAATGTCCAAAAATATGTTTCGGTAATTTTTGGCAAGGTACATGTAGTTGACTCCCCTGACTCATGCCTAGCTACACCCATGGTCACCATATCATTTTGATTCAAAAAGGGCTCAATGTCCAACTCATTGGTCTAAAATGTTCAAAAAATGATTTCTGCAATATTCACCATAATAGACATTGATGCAAACATTCTTTCCAGTACGTTAAGTAATACACTTTCGGTTGAAAAATACATTTTCTTTAATTGACTTTAGAAAAAGAAGTGCAAATTACAGCCTCTTCTACTTGTAATTTCTATCTAAAAGGCAATCAACTTTCAACAAAGCTTTTTCAAACTGTAGTATTTCCAGAAAAATAGGCCTATATTTGTAAGCTATCAATGTCTTTTGATAGTGGAAGTTCTTGGTTGTTAATCATTGAGCCTCTTCAAGCTAAAAATACTGTATGAATAAAGTTTTGAGCTCTTGCCTTTGAAATGCTGGACTGATTCTGGGATGGATTGATATATTGGACAAACGTTTTAAATAAATGTATTTAAACATCACAGGGTGTCAAATGAATATGTTTTCCCCCTTAATTCCAATTTGTCCTTAAAAGTGTATCTAGCTGAGCTAGTCATCTGAAATTTCTTGTGGCGTTGCTCCATGATGAAGCCTTGCTTTGATGTGCCAAAGTACCACGCGGTAACTTCGAGCATTATTTTGAATTTTTGACCTACCAGATATTTGAAAATCAAGGATTACAAGTCTCATACTGCAACATTTTTCTTCAAACTCGTTCCATTCAAATCATAACAAAAATGCCTTTCTGTTGGTACATTATTCTGTTACACAGACTCCCTACTTCCAGCAACATTTTGGTCCCCAGCTGTGAGAAGGGCTTTTAACAGCTGGGGACCAAAACGCTGATAAAACAAGGGATTCACAATAAACCAATGCACTGACAGAAAGGCAATTTTGTTTTGCTTTGAACAGAACATGTTTGGAGAAAAATGGTGCAGTATGAGACTCACAATCCTTGATTTTCGAACATCTGTTAGATCAAAAATTCAAATTAACGGTCAAAGTTAGTACCGCGTGAGTAAAATTCAGACAAAAAGTTATGCAACATTGTGGATGTTAAGGCTAAGGGGGAGAACATATTTGTTTGACACTCTGTACTTAGAACTATATCTTTGAATGAATACATCAAAATATAAGTTACAGATCTACCCAATTATAGTATATTTCAATGTGTTCAATTACAAATATGAAATTCTCATTTAGTCCTTGCATGTTAACATGGTTAACTTGCATGTTAAACTTACTTATTTTACCTGTAATGTGTAGATCTAATGGATCATACTGTCTTTAAGAATATTTTTCAAAACAATATTTTGAAATAAGGCCATGCAAAATTACATAATGTTTAACACCCTCTCCCTCCTCAGTTGAGGCAAAATTTTGAAAACAAACAATATTTGTAAATTCTCAGATATTTACAAGAAAAGAAACAAAATCAAATAGTGTCTTATTGTAAACATTTTGATCAAAGTTGATATTCTAGTGAAGGAAAACTGTGTTTAAATACTGCCTTCATCAAAAATTACAGTAATTCAATTGTATCATTTGTGCAATTTGATTTAATTGATGTAAAAAGTATTCTCTGACATTTCATAACAGTTGCTGTAGTTATGAATTCATTGTTTTCAAAAATGGTCTTTAAAACTTATACTACAAAATACAGATATACATGTACACATGATTACATTAATGAATAAAAATATCATTATCTAGCTTGAGTTGTACTAATCTTTTATCAAGCCACTAAGCCCCCCTGCCCCCTGTCTATCTATCTGGGAAATAGAGGAGCTCAAAGACAATGTGGGAACTTGAATTTCAAATGTTTTTTGGACAATCTTGACCAAACATCTGCGAAAAAAGTAAGTGATGTGGTGGGCAATTCACGTTGCACTAGTAACACATTTAACATCATGTTTAAAATTCAAAATATACAATTTACATAATATACGAGTAGTTTCAAAATACAACTCCATGATCTGCGTATAAAAAGCAGAGGCATATAATATAAGAAATGTACATCACTATTGACGGACAATAATAATAATAAAAAGTTTATGTTTCTTATTTTACTGTACATAAAAGTTCGAGTAATGACATCAGAGACCACTTACACAAAATGCTCACAAAACACTGAGTTTCTTGAATGTATCATAGACCACATTTCGTTGATTAAAGGAATTTCAACAATGCCATCAAAACTTGTGATCAAGAATACATTCATGGAAAGAACTCTACCCCCTCCATAAGTTTGGCAACTGAGAGACAACTTTGGATAGTGTTTTACAGCCTGTTTTGAATGTTCAATTACAATATAGGGTCAGGAATTTATAAACATAAACAAGCTTCATCAAATGGTCTAAAATGACACTTCTGGTTGCCACATTTTCGGAGGGGAGTGTACCTTCTTCAAAAAACATGATATTTTGTCAATTAATTATTTTTCAAAATGACGATACAATATGAAAATATAATTCATATGTAAGTAATACTAAGTATTGATAATTAATTCATACTAAGTATTAATAAGATTACTTAGTATTTTACATTTAGGCCTAGAAGTTGAAGTAGTCAAACAATGCGGTTTACTCAAACAAGTACTTTCAAGCCCCATTGTATCATGTGATTTCACTTTCACAGTATCATAGCTTTAGTAAGGGGCCTTACCAGTCATAGCCATCATACTGTGTGGTTACATTTCACAATAGTATCATCATTTACCTTTAAACCAAGCTGAACATCAGGCCTATTGCTAAAGTTCTTAGGCTGCTTCGAAGGCAAGGTTCATGTAAATGACAGATCTCATTATAACATGCATCTTTGAAGAGGGCTGTATGGCTTTGGACAATGTCTAGGGAAAGACACATGTTGTGATAAGGACAGTTTCATTCATTGAAGGCCATATTTTAGGAAGGATTATAGTTGATAACATGTTTCAGTATCATAAGTTCTGGTAAGGATTTTTCAGTAACTAGTTTGAAAACGACCTCAATAAGGACTATGTTTTGGTAATCACTTGGCTTGGAGTAGAGTACCCTTGTTCAATAGTTGACAAAGTGGCGCCATCTTCAACAACTATATTTTTACTCTCAATATGATGAGCACTTAATAAATCACATTTACTGCAATTTCCCATAAGACACTCATAACTCCCATTTCCAGACATATCCATGTCCTCAGAGAGATCCCCAAAAGGGCCCCCATAATAATCACTCTCACAACCAAATGAGGCTCCATTGGTGATTTCTGAATGATTAAAAGTGTGACTCCCATTAGAATGATACTCAAAGGAGGGTTCATTAGGAGCTCCAGTAGGATGGAATGTGTGGTTCCCAAAAGGGGATACATTTTGGAATGTGGTCTCTATGGGATGGAATGATTGGTCCCCAAAAGGGGCTCCATGGGGGTTTTCAGAACAGGTTGTTGTTGTGCCTAGGGTTAACTGTTCTAGTACCATCTCACAGTCCTGGCTTGGTTCAGGGGGTTCAAAGTCCACTCTAGAGTTGAGCAAGAAGGCCTGAAGGCCAACATTGAGCAATGTTAGAGTCATTCCCTCTCTCACCTCAACACATGTCACACCTGGAAAAAGTTCACCAAACATTATTCTAACATGTCATTTTATTGAGGTGAATGAGGACAATGATTTAACCATGGCAACATTGACAAAGACAATTAAAAAAAGTCAATTCACAATATTTCTATGTATAAAATGAGCACTGTTGTCTATGATTTCTGTGAGATAAAAATCATAAATTCAAGCTACATCTACTGAGTAGACCATTCTCTTCATCTCTATGATATAACACAAAACACCAGACTGTTTAAAGTTTCTGCATGCAGTACTATCCAAATAGAATTGTAACGTAAATATAATGTATTTAGAAGAAGATCAACAAATAGGTACATATCTCAAAGAAATAAATACAATTCAATAAAAAATTAATATCAAATCATTGTTTCATATAAAGCTTAAATCAAAATGCAGCCATATTACAACAAATTGAACAATAATAATGGAATGGTGCTTACCTGTTGAAAATTGTACAGGTAATTGGATACACAAGTTTTGCTTGAACTCTTCTGGCTTGTTCTATTTAGGTTTTGAGAGGCCATGTTGGTTTGATAGTTACATATGTTTAATTGTAATTTATATTTTGGGGATCTCAAATTGTACAAAGGGTTCTTTCTGGTTAACGAATGTATTTATTAAAGAATATATTAACTTTAATCTGTAGACAAATATATCTTAAAATTCGATGGAATTGAGGTATAGATAACACTGGGGAATCAGGCCCGTAGCCAGGATTTTCCAAGGGGGGGGTTCATTTTTCAAAAATTTCCAGGGGGGGTTCACTTGAGAAGTGCTCAAAATGGTGAAAAACTGCATGATTTTGAAAGAATTTTTGGCCAGGGGGGGGGTTCGCCCGAACCCTGCGAACCCCCCCCAGCTACGGGCCTGGGAATATATGTCATATCTGAGGATTGGGTTCAGTATATCTCTCATTCAAACAAGGGAGCAGGCAGATATAATGGTAGTTTTGTTTTCAATAATGCAAAGTAACATTGCAAAATGAAACACCTCATGGAATTTGAAAAGAATGTAAGTAAATGGACAGTAATCAAATAAATATATAAATGGACAGTAATCAAATAAATATATCCCTCAGAATAAACCTTATATCCAAAACATCCTGGTACGTTACCATCAAGGATTAAAATAAATACTGGATATACAAACTTAATGTTTAAATAAGCATTAATTTATTATTTAACAGAGAAAAACCCTGTGGTTGAGTATATCAATGTAAAATATGACGTTGCATATCAATATTCAGTCTTCGCAAAGCATAACAGTCCACCATGTAAATCCTTATAATATGTCTTTCTTTACTAAAATCTTTTGACATTAAACTTAATCAATCTATGTCATCCTCCTAAGCAGGTATCCAGAATCCGTACCTCCTTCTTCCCCCTGCTATAACCAATTTGGAAGCGCCCAATTTTACTGAATCATGTGATCTAATTAGACAGCCTTATTGGCGACAGCCAATCAGATTGTGAGTTCTTAATTGGGAAAATGCTAACTGCTTATCGCAGGGGGTAAAAAGAAAGAATATATTCAGGATTTTGAAGCCCTGTGATCGGAGGATGATCTATGTGAGATTAGAGAAAATTGAAAATTTTCCTTTGTATGAATGATGCAACGAAATACAATTATATGACATCAAAAACCTATTTAAATGACATCATGCTTCATCAATTCATAAGACACAGTATAAATCAATGACATCCGATGGAATCCTTTTCTTGTACATATAATAACTCTCAAATACTGCAATGTTCGTGTAATTAAATTGATAAAAATGCATATAACAATGAAAGTTATATGTAAATATCTCCTAATGTCATCTGATATCAAGAACGTTTAGTTGATGATTGTTTTGTTTGATTGTCATTAAATTGTTTAAATCCATTTGTGAGCTCTGGGAAACTCATTCCGTTCTCTGTGTATATACAAGTGACGCCTGAAGAACAAGAACGAAGGCACATATAGGCAAACATAAAGACTTCCCAACATCAAAGGTTCTCAGTTTTACGCACATATGAATTTTAGGGTTTTTTGGATAGATATCAATGGTAGCCACTTCCCGTAAATAAAGTGACAATTGGGAAAATTGGCGCTTTGAGTTGTTTGCATGCATTGTTGTTATGTTCAATTTTGATTTGATGATTTCTGAGATGTGAAGAATTTCAAAGAACCTGTTTTCTCTCCTTTCAGCAATTTCAAAATAAAAAACAGGCAAATTCAAGATTTTAAAAAGCCAGGTGCACATAAACCCTAGGGCATAAAAATCTGAATATCTGCATATAAGCTTGAGAACCCAAGATGTTAAGAATAAGAAATAGTTTCAACTTAAAACATTAATGTGCTGTAAATTAAAGCAAATAATTGGTGATACAAAATCATTGATAACAGAAAATTACCAAAACTATATCAACTGAAATATACCTCATCCTATCATATATAAAAAGACATTACGTTTTTATATTCATCATGCTTTATGTAACATATAACATCAAAAAACATATTAAATTCATAAAATCAATGTTACAAAAAATAAATGATTGAAAGATATTGAAATGGCAAAAATATGCTTATAAAAATTAAAAAGTTATTTTTATCTCAAAATAACGTAATGATTATGCCAACACTCAGAAAAAATGCTGTATATCAAACATCAAACTCTTTAGAAATTCATAAAATGGAAGTATAATACATACAGTTTTTGGACTCACCTAATTTGCTTATGTCAGCGATATTTCTGTATTCGTCATCAAAGAATAACATATCTCTGTATGCTATACCGCTGTCTTCGTGGAATCTAGGAATACATTTCATAATTTAAATGTTAGATATTTAGAATGAATTGATAAAAATGTAAACCTGAATCACCTAGTGCAGAGTTGAAAATGCACAGCTTTTGATAATTTTCAATCAAAAATGTACAATAAGAATCTTTACTGAATAGAGAAAGACCCTGTTGAAAACTTTGCAATATTATATTATAGTATTGTCATCTGTTCAACAATGATAACAAGTAATTTGTCAGGTTTTACAGAAAAGCAAACATTTTGCAGCAGATTGACTAGATTCCTGTAAAAATTCAATAGGCTGTCAGGTCAGAGTGACATGACTTACAACAAAAGGACAAGTTGACCTAGAATTAAATATCAAAATATTTTCTCACCTTTTGAAATGGGCGACCTTACAGCCAGGGTATATCTCCTTGTAATGGAAGTATTTCTCCCAGTCAAGAAGCTTCACTAACTGCTTAGCTTCATCCGTACATGTTGTCCTGAAGAGAAGAATACATCCCAATAACAAAGTTTGTAAAAGTATAGTCAGACATATACTAGTAAATTGGCTAAGAATCATTAATTGACCAAATTAATTTAGATTATTAAATTGTTTCAATAATCAGCTTTAGTTGCCCTTTGTTCCAAATTCTCATTTAAATAGTTTTGTTTTGACAAACTGCACATGACATGAGCACATATGCACACTGGGATGACATTGGCAGTTACAATAAAAGTGATATATACGTCATACTTTTTAAATCATGACAGTCTGAAACTTATCCATGTAGCCATAATGCAAAAATTAAAATAAATGCTGATGTATAAAAGGCTACCTCTCGTTCATTCAGTTTTATGCAAATCTTACCTAGAAGCAGCTCCTAGCTTGTAGCCCTCACTGTGGAGTTGCTCCAATATATTGGGCACATCGGGGAATGGTTTGATGTGTTTATTGTAATTATCGTAGATTTTACCATCCCTAAAACATATGATATTTGAATGAACAAGATACAGCTGTGTAATTCAGTATTAGGCATTTAGAATAGAAATTACATGAAAAGAGTATAGAGAATCAATTCTGAGACTAAAACAATTTAGGCCATCTCTGTGTAAAAATCCTCATAACTGCTTCAGCACAGAGACTGATGCTATAATGTGTCACTATCTCACTGCCTTTATGCCGGTAACATTACTTGGAAGTTTTGACACCAAATAATTACATGTTACTACCAGACCCAAGCAACAGTGATCTCTTGATCCTAAGTTTACTCACTTTAGTCTAAATATTTCAATTTGTCATTTATATTTTGACAGGGTGCAAACAGGTCTTCAAAAGGGCAGCAGTACGTGATTTTAAAATATTTAACAGAGAACACCACCCTGTTATTTTAATGGTGGGGTGATCACTGCACTTTATTTAGTTCATAAATAATTAAAGTAAAACATTGGGACCAGAAAATAGTGTTCAGATTAGCAGGTGTCTCATACTTCAGGTCTTTTTAATATGTGAGTCAATGGGAGATAACAAATTTAGGACCAAGAAAAAGTGTTTTCATTGAGAGGTGCCCAGATAAGAGAGGTGTTTGATACAAAGTTTCACTCTGTATGTCTTATTTAAAGGCTGACCTTTATGTAAAACGCAAAATATTTGGGCATATTTTTATACATATTTTATTTATATTTTTATTACAAATTCAACAACTGACAAGATTTTGAATGCATATATATTGAAATGACATCGTTAAAAATGGTATTTCCAGTGCAGAATAAAAGCACGGCAAAATCAAGGTAAATTGGTCGAACCGGGATTCGAACTATGGTTTGACTGCGTGGGAAGCTAGTATTTTCTCCCTAGACCACTCAGGCTTATTATATTAGGTGTGGTCAATAAACGCTATTCATTTGAACAGCTATAATATACCAGTTATGTCATATTCTGAGACGAGAATTTTTCAAAAAATCGAATGGCTGGCGAACATCAAAGCAATCAAAGGAACAATTTGTAATAATGACTCCTTTATCATGATTTGTACAAAATATTTGCCTCATTTGATCGCCATCGTATATCCTCTCATTTTAGCTCTAAATATCACCAACGAAACAACCCACGATTGCTTTTTATTTACACCGCTGCACACCTTTTTTGTAAAGCATTCTAATATCAGCCTTGATTGTGTTTTTCCTTTTTGTTTACATATGAACAGTTATAAATAATGGTAACGAATTTGTATTTGTATTGCATACTAGTGTATGGTATATTTACTTCAAAGTTCAACAACACAATTGTTAAATTGATAAACCTTGTTGAATTTTCATTGTATGATATTATATTATATGTTATAATACTTGTATATGAACTTGAAATAAAAATGATTAATAAAAAAAAAAGTCAGCTGGCTGGTCACCATGCTTTCAAATTTAAGAATATTATTTTCAAAGCCAGCGAAAGCTTTGATAAATTTACAGATCATATATGAGGGACTCAATTTTCACATGGTATATACTATATACAATACTTTAAAACTATAAAACCCTTTTGGAACCAATAAGCCTCTCTAGAATTCTATGTAGTCCAAACTTGCATATTTTAGGTGTACATACAAGGCTAAAGAAACTATAAGCAAGATCTGAGAAACAATTAACATGTACCTTACCCCTTTTTGGAGAAGGGTGGGTCCACATGGGTGTCAATCCAGAATGGCCACAATGTATAATCTATAAAAACATACAGTTTATTTCAATAAATGCATATATCTTACCGATTTTTTCGAAATGGTGGGTCTACCATACAGTCTACATGGAATGGCCACATCGTCATGTCTGTAAAAAATAATGTCACCCTTAATTTAGGAAATGGATTTCTGTAGCTTATATATAAAACAAGCAGTATATTTCAATTTTATTTGAAGTTGTCATTTCATTTTCTAATTTTCAAACAAAAGAGTGAAGTACCAAATACTCCATCGTGATAACTGCACCCCCTTTGTAGTCTCGATCTTTTTTCCCGCAAATGGCAGATAATAAAACTAGATCTAATTTTGACCAGGCACTCATTTGATTTTCACAACTTTGTTGAGATATATTCTACCCTTGCCAAATTCAGCAACTTTTCTTATTTTTACATCACCGCATTGCGCGGAGCCTTAAATATGCTTCTGAATTAGCCAATCAGTGATGGCATGCCATAAAAACGTTGGCTCATTATGCTCAGACGAAAAACACATTGGAACATCCAAACCAATTTTGCACAAATATTGAAAATCCAAATATTGTATCAAAAGAATATCAATCAGGTTGATGCGGGAGTATCGATTGGATACATGGAGCTTCAACAAGAAATAACATTTCAACAAGAAATGCTGAAAATGATCCCTGAAAATGTATTTTTGACCAGGCCTTACTCGAGTCTAAAGCCAGTTCTTGGCTAGAAGTAATTCCATCTGGATCATTGGAATGTTGTTATTGTCTGACATTAGTAACTGGCTGTATATTCTAAGTAAGCGATCCAGAAGATGTGAACTAATACATTGATCACTTCATTTGTGTTTTGGAATTTTTGGTGAGGTAATTAGACCAAAACTTGTGATGTGGAAAAATGGCGAACATTTGATTTAAAATTTTATGATTACGACATGACCCGTACACAGAAGTAAAAAACATGCAGGGATTTATCCTTTGAACAAGGCCACAATAAAGTGGCCTTAGAAGAAGGTAAAAAACCAGGCCTACTTAGATTGCTGGCAAGCACACAAAACTTGTCACTGGACTGAACGATAAACCTTACCCAGAAAGACTTAAACAGTTAAAGCTATACTCTATGACATATAGACGGAAAAGAGCAGACATGATCCAGGTATTTAAAATTGTTCATGGTATTGACAGAGTAAATGCAGAGATATTCTTTAATCAGTCAACAGTGAGATATACAAGAGGGCATGACTTTAAACTATACCAGGAAAGATCTAGGCTCAATCTTAGAAAGCACTTCTTCTCCCAAAGAGTGATAGCAGACTGGAACAGCCTGCCTGAGAAAGCAGTATGTGCGCCAACCCTGGAAACCTTTAAGAAGAGGATGGATGATCACTGGAAGAGGTAACCAAACCCGTCTGGCCCAGTTATCTACTCCCGTACTCGTAGATCTGGGCCAGACAATGTCCAATGCAAAAAATGGGGTATTTACTCCGGAAAAAACATGTCGCTGAATCATCACTTATTATTCATTCCCTATTAGCCATCCAACCAAAACATCGGGCTACATGTAAACCCAAGTATTTATTTGAAATAAAGAGTACATAACTTACACGTAAATGTGGTGTTTTGTTTGTTATTTTGATGTTGAAATGGGCACAACATTTCGTCAATATTTCGTCAGTTCTCCGCACCGAATAAAGTCACGTGATGTGACGTAACACGAGTGTGACGCGATAATTTTTAAACTTTCATGGAATGAAAATACATTTCCCGGGAATCAATACATTCCAAATATTACGATTTGTTAAGCAGATTTCTTATCAAAACGTAGATTACTTTATAAAACAGATGTATCTGTGTTGTATTTAGACTGGAAAGAAATATGGTGGACATAAATACAATTTTTCAATTTGTTGAACTGACCGAATGTAGTACTGAACGAAATATGCAGCCGAGACTTCTTGATATTCTATGAGATCACTAACAGATTGCTTAAGAATTTCTCTTTTTGCTGCGTTAAATCGTTTCGTTCTTATTTATTAGCCATCGTCCAGCGATGGAAACCTAATATAAATACAAAGTTTGATACAAGGAACAAACACGTAAGTGACTTTTATGATGTTTATTCATTTATCAGCACGTATTATACATTGAAAAACCAGTGTGTTTTTTCCAGAGTAAATACCCCATTTTTTGCATTGGACATTGTCTGGCCCAGATCTACGAGGTCGGGAGTAGATAACTGGGCCAGACGGGTTTGGTTATGGAAGAGGGAGCACTATATGCTATAGGTTTCTTTTGTTTTGGTCTTGTTCAATGAAATGAGAAGCCAGGTGGCTTAAGTAATGAGAGGACGACATCACTGGCTTAGTCCACTACGTCCTTATGATGATGATGATGATGAAGCGCATGGACTTGATATTGTTTACAACTAGGGCAAAGGGGTGTAACGTCGACATGTGGGGTAAAGTCGACTTAAGAGACGAGGTAACTTCGACACTTACTTATTAGAAGTAGAATTTCCGTTTTCCGCCATGTTTGATTTCTGGAAAAATTAAAATCTCGCGAGATCTCGATCCATGCGAGAAAAAAAACATGGCTTCCCCCAAGATCGGAAATTAGAACAAATAAACAACAAGGTGTCGAAATTACCCCACATGTCAAAGTTACCACAAAATGGTGTCGACGTTACACCCCTTCGCCCTACCACTATTGGCTAATGATGACGCATGTGCGATGGCTGACACACACTTTATCATAATATCAACAAATATGTATTACATGGAACAAGGCTGTGATAGGCCTATAGTCTACTTATTGAAAATCAAGAAAAGTAAGCTGAAAGCCCATGTAAATAAATCATCATTTGGTACTGTAGCTGTTAGGCTTGTGTGCCTGTTGTCGCTAAGCTCTTTTTATATTTATCAGCTAAAAACTGATCGTGATATTTTAATCATTTGAACCACCTGGTCCAAGACACTTTAAGTTTGACAGGTGAGCTAGGTTAAGCATAGACCCCAAAGATCAGACTTGCAGACTGGTCTTCTTGTTGCAGTACTTCAAGGGTGCGCGCTGTTGTTCCGCCGTGCTATGCTATGGTGTAGTGTTTTTCTGACCAGAATTTGTCGAGCCTCGTTTTGAAGGTGGTGATAGAGTCTGAACTTATGACGTTCTCTGGGAGACTATTCCAGTCACTGATTACTCTCAAGCTGAAAGTGTTGGTTCTAAGTGAAGTTTTGCAGTGTCTCTTGAATAGTTTTTTTGAATGGCCTCTCGTGGTGGAAGTGGATGACTGGAAAAATAAATCAGGGTTTAAGTTGACTAGTCCATTGAATATCTTATAAACTTCTATCATATCACCTCTTTTGCGTCTATAATGTAAAGAGTGTAATTTCAGTTCCTTCAATCTATCACTATATGCTAGGTCTTTTAGTCTATAAATTAATTTAGTTGTTCTTCTTTGTATTTTTTCAAGCTTTCTTTCATCTGTGATAAATCTAGGGTGCCATATAGAGTTTCCGTAGTCCAAAACTGGTCTAATTATAGCTTTATATAGTTTGATAATACTTTGTTCGTCTATATGTCTAAATGTCCTTTTAATCAGGCCTAGTTTGCTGTTTGCTTTGTTGGCTATTCTTGATATATGACTGTGAAATTTTAATTCATTATCAATTGTGATACCCAAGTCATTTTCCTCTGTAGTCTCTTGTATTGGTGTGTTGTCTAATGAATATGGTTGATGTACATTTCTGGCTCCTCCTAAGTGAAGTACTTTACATTTGTTGGAATTAAATCTCATTTGCCAGGTTTCTGTCCATTTAGATAGTGAGTCTATATCATCTTGAAGTGACTTTCTTTGTTCTTGTGTTAAGCTCTCTCCATACAACTTAGTATCATCTGCGAATATTTTGATTGTATTTTTAACTACTTCGGGGGCGTCGTTGATGTAGATAATGAAGAGACAAGGTCCGATCACAGTTCCTTGAGGCAATCCAGATGATACTGGGGCTTCTTCTGACATGTCTCCATTTACTCGGACTCTCTGGGTTCTTCCTGATAGAAAATTAGCTATCCAGCGTTGTAAATTTCCTTGAATTCCATATGAATCCAGTTTTTTGATGAGCCTCTGGTGCGGGACGGTGTCGAACGCTTTCGCTAGGTCAAAATATATCGTATCTATTGGGACCCCCTGGTCCAAGATATCTGTCCAATGTTCCATGACAGTCAGTAGTTGTGTAATGCAGGACTTTCCGGGTAAAAAACCGAACTGGTCTTCTGAAAATAACCCATTAGTTATCATGTATTCTAGGATGGTATCCCTGATAAGTGATTCTAGCAGTTTACTTACTACACTTGTTAGGCTAATTGGGCGATAGTTTTCACATCTGTCTTTGGGTCCTTTCTTGTGTAAGGCTACGATTTCAGCTTTTCTCCAATCTAATGGGACTTCTCCTGATTGAATTGAATTATTGAAAATAATTTCTAATGGTAGAATTAGAGAACTCGCTACCTCTTTAAGTAGTCTTGGGTGGAGCCCATCAGGCCCTGGTGACTTACATGCTTTGAGTTTTTTAAGTTTCTTCAGTATATCATTTGGTTTTATCATTAAATTTGTAATACAATTTTCGCCACTTCGCTTATTTATAGATGGGATATTACTAATGTTTTCTTCAGTATAAACACTTGAAAAATAATTGTTTAGAAGATTTGCCTTCTCATTGTCCTCAGTTACGATTTCACCTTCGTTACTTTTCATATCTGGGATTTTTGACTGTGGTTTGGTCTTTGCTTGAACATATACTTGGGTATACATGGGGTACATTTTTCCTGATAGATTCATTCAGATGGTCTGTAAATAGGTTCCATTGTTTTTGTACACTAATGTTGTTGAGGTCTTTTTTCCAGTCCACATTTGACATATCAGTTCTAATTTGATCATAGTTAGCTTTTGAGTAACATGCTTTTTTGGTAGGTTTATACGTTTCACTAGTGCTTGGTTTTGTTAGTATTCTAAAACTCATAACTATGTGGTCACTGTGTCCTAATTTAGCTAGGTACTCAATATCTCTCACTTTCTCCTCGTCTGTTGTAAATATAAGGTCTAATATGCTAGGTCTCTGACCGTGGACTATTCTGGTTGGCCGATCTACTAATTGGGCTAGGAACAAGTCTTGCGTGGTTTCCAAGAACTTTGTCGTAAAGTGATCCTCATTTTGGTTTGACTGAGCTGTCTCCCAGTCTATATCTCTCATATTAAAATCGCCTGTAATACAGACGTCACTGTTTTCATTTTTAGCTTTATTTACAATATTTACAAATAAGTCATTTAAGTTCTGGTTATTATTTACATTGCTGCTGGGGTTTCTATAGACACAACCGAAAAATAATCCATTTATTTTCAGTAGTAGATATTCTGCGAAAGGGACTGCTAATTTTATTTCCTCAGCTTGAATTCCATTTTGAATATATATTGCTATTCCTCTCCTTCCTTGCTGGTCTGTATTATTTCCACTCTCAAAATTTGAAAATAGGTAGTAGCCATCAACTGATATCTCCTGCAATGTTACAGGGTCACTTCTTTCTTTTGGTAAAACTTCTGTTATGGCAATAATACTTGGTTTATGAATGTCAATTAGTACATTTAATTCAGACATTTTATTTGGCAACCTATCAGCATTGCAATATAATACATTATGATTTTTCAGCAGTCTTTTATTTTTGAGCTTAAATGGACTATTTCGATTGCGTGTTTGGGATCAAAGGTCTCCTCCTCCGGTGGCTTGACTCAAACCATGGGTGTCAGTTATTTCTTGGTTCTTGTTTCTCTTCCTATGGCTTGGTTTAGGTCTTTTGGTGTATTGTATTGTATCTGAGTCAGAATTGCTAGGCAGCCTATTTCTATGTTTTCTCGAAGTGGTTTTAGGGCGTGTGATTTCCTCCGGTTTCAGATTCCTAGGATTTCTCTTTTCTTCTTTCTCTGGTTCGGATTCACTTTGGGTCATGGTGTCACTGATTGAGTCTACATCACTGTCGTTTTCAATGTTGATCACAAGCGCTGGTTGTTTAGGTAGTTCCGTAGTAGTTTTGCTATCATTCTCTTGGTCTTGTAAATCCTGTAGTGGGTGGAACCGATTTTTCGACGATCCTGTTTCCTTAACATGTCCATGATTTTTGACTGTCGAATCTGTTTTTTGTTTGGCTGTACGTCTTGCATCTGTTTGGTTTGTTAGATTCGTGTTAAATGTGATTATTTCTCCTTTCGAAATTTTGATGTTTGTTTCTCCAGCATCTCTTCGTCTCTTTAGCTCTGTTCGCAGTTTCCTGTTTTCCTCCCTCTCCTTCAGCGTAAGGTCTGGGGTGATGTAGATATTGTTGAATTGTTGTTTTTGTCTGAGAATTGTTGCATTTCTGAGGATAGATTGTTTAATTGGTATGTTACCTAGTACCACTTGTAAGAGTCTTGGTTTGTTGTTCTCCCTCCTTGCTCCAAGTCTGGTTGTTTTCTTTATCTCGGCATTTTCTATTCCTAAGCCCCTGCTCAGAATAGTTGTTACTTTGTGTTCATCAAACTCCTTTCTTGACCTTGTGTCAACATGTGTTGATTCCTTAATATTATGCACTATGATGTTGTATTTGCGCTGGTCTCGTTCAAATACTTGTTGGGGGAGAGAATCCACTTTGTTGTTTGTTATTTTAAGTTCCTGGCTTACTTGATCTTTAACAACATCAGATACTGACTGTACTTGGTCTTTTACTACTTCAGAATATGCTTTCATTGAATTTGTTGAGATATTTTGTAAATTTTTGGTGTTGTCGATGATCATTGATTTCAGATTTTCAGACACATTTTGAATTAATCTTGAAATATGTTTCTCAATTTCATTACATTTCAGGTTGAAAATTGTGTTTTTTTCACATTCATTACAGTACCAATGAATATTTTTATTATTTTGGAGTGTTCCTACTAAACTCTTTTTCAAACCTTGGCACCTACAGCATGACCATTTTTCACAGATCTCACATTGAATTTCTGATAGCACTTTATCACAATACTCACAGTTATCCTTTGGATTCGGGGTAACAAGCACCTCCTGGGCTTGTGGTGTACTCGTAGCTTTTTGTTGGGCTATATTACCGTGTGAGTCGGACGTTGTTTGGTGAGATATAGGGCGAGAACTTTTGTTTTCAGAACTTTCACTTTTTTTTCCAATATGGCGGCCGGAAGAGGAAGAAGGAGACTCACTTCCGAAAGCACTTCTCAGTTGTCGTAAATCAGTAGATTGTGAATTATTTTCTGTATATAGCGCGTCTCCGACTGCAAAATCTGTTATAGATTTTACAATACTTCCCACAGCTGTACCGATGGCGCTTTTGTGCCTTTTCTTCTCCAAATCCTTTGCTCCTTTCGACATTGTCGTAATTTTCGCGGGGTTTTCTAAATTTTGAAAAGACAACGTTTGGGGTCTCTTTTTTCCTTATTGTGTTGAAGTTCGTGACTTTTTGTTGCCTGGATCTCTTCTTTAGTACTTCCCGTCCCTCTTCTTGTCCTTTCTTTGGGGGTGCTAGGTCTATAGCTCAGAGAACGAGATAAAATTTTGAGAGAAATATTTTTTGTGTTTCGACATATTGGTCGGATAATAAGCAAATATCTTATTTGCTATTTGGCAAGGCCGGCTTGACAAATAGATGATCAATTTCAAAATATTAGAGAAGTCTTACCAAGATCGAACACTATCAGCTTCGGCTTTGACATTTCGATTGTTGTTGTGTGTATCGACTTTTTCAAGAAAGCTCGGGAAACGTTGACAATATTGGAAAATAAGGAAATTTTCATTCTTTTCTCGAAATCCCGGAAGCCATTTTGAATTCACAATTATGCGAGATATTGTGAGAGTTTGAATTAAAACTTAAATAGTTTATTGTATAGCAATATTTAAAAGAGATTATTGAAGCTTATATTTACTATGTTTCATATTCTACAATAACACATATGTTATGTATGTATCAAATCAATGAAATTGATAATGTTGGAATAAGTCACGTGACCGTTAGCGAGATCTTTAAAATTTGTAAAATAAAAATGTTTTGATCTGATTGTTGTTCAACGATTCTGCAGCGTCTTTAGCAAAGGTACGTCCCAATTATTGGAGGATTATTTTTTGCAGTGTTGAAGTAAAGGTTTGATCTATAAAAGAAGAGCCATGTTGATACTTTTTTTACAGAACGCAAAATTTGTTTAGAAAATCAGCTCAGGGAGCTCTGGGTCCCAGGGTCTGAGTCACATCTCCCGCATAATATTCTCTATGTGTTGAAAGCGATGGGCCAAGAGTCTCAGGCTACTACAAATAACCCTGACTAATAAGCATAGGTTTTGGTTTGATATAAATATTGCAGCGGTGGTAGACATACATACAGTTAGTATGTATCCAACAGACCGAATATAATATTCGGTCTGTTATGATTGATATATTTCCTGTGGAAATCGCGGTGATATTTTTTGCACATTAATTTCTCGTTTATTACAAGAATGTTCACCTTGAAAATTGGTGAATATGTTGAAGAGATGTTCATCTTAAACTACAAGCAAAAATATTTGTATAAGGCGGGTACAAGTTGATATAAAATAATGAAATGTTCAGACTCACCAAAACTGCAGGATGTGTTCTTAAGTAGATCGCGAAATCAATGTCAAGGACGTTTGAGTTCACGAGATCCAAATGGAATTTATCAATACGCTTCCGTAATGTTGCTCCGTCCGCTCCACGTGTTATTTGTTTACAAATAGACTGACGTCACTGGCTAAATGTCGTTTATCGTGAGAATTGGCATTGCCAAAATGGCTTGACCTAATCAATGGCTTCGCTACAAGAAGCGTCTGTACATTTTATGAATATCTTCAGTAAGAGGACAATATACGAAAAAACAATATTGTAAGTTCTTTATAAGGTAATCATTTTATCATTAACAAACTTATTTGTAACATTTATACAACACCACATTTTACAATAGGTGACTTACAGTCTGAATATTTATTCAGACGAAGGATACAGTCTATACATACAGTGGGGATCATAAAGAATTGCAAAAGCTATGAAAATTACATGCTGTCGCACATGTAATAAATTCTTACCTCAGTGTATTCAGTGCTCTATTTTCTCCGTCTTAGTAAGTCCAAATATAGTGGAATTTGTGTCCCTAATGACAAATAAGAACTTCAAAAGTTGAATTGGATATTCACATGTTATGCCGACTCTTCAAATGTTGAGGTGATTTTGTCGCCCGATTGCGCCGGAACGGAGGATTGGCTCCCAGAATGCAACATGCCACGTGCCAGCTTTCAAAATGCTGTTCCGCCATTTTGAAACCTGTCATGAGTAAATATGGTTAACTGATGTTGCATTCTGGGAGTCAACCGTCCTTGGATAACAAACATGGCGATTCATGAAAACATTCATTAGATTTGGTAGGGATTTATCCATTATTTGCAGGTATGAAGCTTTGGATTAATTTATTGTGCTACTTTAGTGAACGGGAATTATTTTTCTACCGCTTGGGAGAGTTTGAGACACAAAACTTGGAAATTAGCTCATTGTGACAACTTGTGAACGTTGAGTTTTATTTTTGTCCCCCACTTTAGTAAGAGAAGTATACTCTACAGGGTTCTCACTAGGCTTTTAGACTCCGGAGATTCTCCGGAGTCTAATGTCTTAAAATCCTCTTGCTCCAGAATCTAATAGCTTTTCCGGGTGTAAAGTGTTTTTTCCGGAGTCTATTTTTTAAGGAGAGGGAATTCCAATGTACCAGATGAAAATGTTATGTTCTCACAGAGACAAGTTTTCTCTGAATTGTTTGAATTAAAAATATTCTTCTAAGGTCTTCTAAAGCTGATTCTGTTTATTTTTGAGTCAGAAAAATTATATTTTTGAGGCATATATTAATTTGATGACAACTTTGTAACCTCTGCTGATCCAATGCTAAATATACTGATATTCGATTTCCATGAAGGCCTTTATCCAGAAGTTTCGAATGTTATGGTGGAATAAAATTGATAATAGATCAACAGATCAATAGACTTGTTTATTATTAAAGGCCTAGTGTAAAGGAAAACTTTGTCTTATCGCGATAATAACAATTTCAAGCAATAATAACAACTACCTTACTTTGGTATTTAGTTACCTGGAAAAAATCTTACGTAACAATTTTCAATACCAGGTGAGAAAGTTAAGTTCGAACCCTGACCAAGTTGTTTATTTAGTTCAATATCTGAAGGTTTTAAGGAAGTACGGATCAAATGATTAGATTGCATGATGAATTACGGTCTCATGGCAGTTAAGAGCAAATGACAAAACGAAGAGATGACAAAAAACATAAGATAAAATATTTTTCTGACTGACCTACCCTAAAAAAAATTGAGTAAAATTTTAATGAAAAATAAAATAATCCTCCTACCTACCTACCCTAATCTGAAAATACATGGAGCAGGAAACAGACATATATTTTTGTTTGGCCTTACATTTTTGTCACATTATTTGTGGTAAAACTCTTGAGAAAATACATAAAAACTGGATACAAACAAGGAAGAGGAAGTCAGAAACCTTTTAGAAATAAATATTGGGATTAAAATAGCAAGATAAACTTAGCAGTATGTTGAAAAGTATACTTATAAGATATCTCTGATCTCACATGGGGGAGAAGTAGTCGCAATACTGCAAAAATGTAGTCAAAATACCGCTAAAAATCTGGGGTCTAAAAATTTCCCGGTGAGAACCCTGCTCTATATAAACAGGTTATAATGAAAACACACGATACACACTAACGCGCTGTTCTGAATGATCGATCCTAGGCCCAAGAACATGCATAAAAATTGAGTCGAATACACCAAGTACAGAGATTAGGTGGCGTTAGAAGTAATGAAGAAGCCCAATGTTTGATCATTTACTGTGCAAAGATTATCACTTGTCAGTGTGTTTTAGCTGATTTAAAAGGAATGTTATTAAAACCGTTCGACCTTCGACCTGCACTTCGATGGGCCTGCTAGTCACGTCTGAGACATGGACTTGAGTGAATGTTTCTAACGTATTTCCTAATAGGCCTACTTATATACGTGTTTACAATTATATGGAAATATTATACAGTTTCGAAAGAAAATATGACTCTTGCGTGGTCTGAGATCGGCAAAAATAGCTTCTATAATGTTTTCTTTTTGGACACCCTGTAGGTCGAAGGTGCAGGTCGAAGGGTTTTTATAACATTTCGATTTAAAAGGAAGATATAACAGAAATTAGCAACTTACAGGATGAATGGTCGCAGATTGGTGCTGCGCCCACTTGCTTTAATGCTGGGGAGATCACTGCAATATATGTTTTATTTTACCAGGTGATTGGGTAACCTGCAATAGGCTAGCTGGTTAGACCAGCTGCTCGGGTGCAACAATGACAACACGTGCAAGGAGCAACCGAAATAATGATGACATGGTTGACTTGGGAGGGTTTCTACAGAGCTACATTCCAACATTAAACATTGGGGCTGAAGTACCTCCTTTGCAAATACAGCCTTTAGACATACCAGTTGATTCTCCTGGGGAGCGCCAGGGTACGTACTAATGGCAAAGTAAAATTCGTTTGAATTCTGTTCAATGCACAAAATCAACAAGCCTGCAAGCTCAGAGTCAATATCCAAAAATTGTAGGAAATGGTATCGCAGCAGTTTAAGTCTCAGAATTTCTTTTAGATTCTATAATATAAACAGTTGTCTTAAGTACACATATACTCATTTTTCTGTTTTATTGTTTCAACTTGTTTTTTGAATGTTGTTTTGTAAGAAGCAGTGACATGTTTTTCAGATGTCGAGAATGCATTGCCAGAAAATTCCCAAATTTATAAGACACTAAACATTCCATGTGAAAGTTCAAATCAGAGTGCAGCAGAACGCATAAAATCTTTGCTAAATAAGGACAAATTTAAAGTACGACCTTCTAGACTTCCCACAATGCCTGCAAAATATAATGCAGTCAAGAAATGGTGAGTAAAAGTATACATTTACATAATAAGTTTTCAACTATTCTAAGTCATAATAATTGACAGCAATTCTAGCATCTGTAAACCAAAAACTTTGAGGAAATAAGAAATAGAAAAAAGAAAGGATGAGAAAGCAACTTCATGCAAGATTTAATCAGCTAATGCCTAATACTAATAATAGTTTCAAATAGTTAATAATAGTTTGTGGTATGTTTTTGACGTGTTAACTTTTATTTCCAGGTTATTAAAGCGCTACAAAATATCAACATCAAAAAATTCTCAAGAATATGTGCTCTGCTATGAAATTGAACAAGCCGTTATGAATGCATTCCCAATAATTACAAAGTATAACGTAGGACGTGTTATACGATTCACATTCCCATGTACAAAAAGAGTATCCAATCAGAGGGGAGTATTTTATCAGCCAATCACATTGAAGAACTCCACTGACCTCCCTGATAAACCAGAAAAGGTAAGGAAATATCATATCAAAATATAGTAAAACCTGTGTACTGGCCAAAATTGTTTTTTGGAGATGGACATTCTTACAGGTCACAGAGAGGGTTGCAGAGTTCATTAATATTTATGTCAAGGGACTTGGTTTTTATGTCATCACCAGAAGTGTGACATACTGCTATAGTCTCCAACCTTTTGTGGACGGTGTTCAGCAGTCAGCATTCTCTGTTGGCATCTGTAACAAATGGCAGGTTGTGATCTTTTGCATGTTAATGCATTATTGAAAACTGCTTCATATAGAGAGGTCCGATCCCTACAGAGACATCTTTCATTGACAATTTTTTATTAGTTGTATTTTAAATTCTGAAATCATTGAACATTAATTGATCCAAGAAAGAATGAAAAAAAGCTTGCAAGATCTGAATTCTCTTAATCAGATTTACAACCTCATGACAAGGTATAGAATATAATTGTTGAAATCATTACACCCTATATATATATAGAGGATATCCTATGATTTATGAGTGATATGATTTTTATCCACGAATGGATATGATATCTGCACGAGCGAGCGTAGCAAGAGAGTGCAGATTTCAATAACCATGAGTGGATTAAAATCATATCACGAGTAAATCATAGGATGTTCTTTTTATTCCATAGTTAAAGTCATCATCAGAATCTTCGGAAATTAAGTCATTTAATTCGAATTTTCCAAACGATCCGGCGATGTTGACACTTAGCCTCGTTTTGAGTCTGAAGTAGCAAAAATCCATAAACCATCGCATACGACGTCGTATGTCATGGCTAAAAAACCGTATGCTATGGTTAAGTGAAAATCTGTCAAAAATATCATATTTTACCACTGATTAAAAAAATACCGTTTTTATTTTCACATGTTATCCTATGAATATCATGCTAACTATGGAATAAATATATTTATCCTATGCCAAGTAGAGTTTTAGGGAGATAAGTTGATAAGATATATCCCGTATTGAGGTTTCCATATCCTGAACCTCCATATCTCCCGCCATATCTCCCGCTCCAGCGCATATCTTCCCACTTCGAAAAAATTTAAAAAATTAAAATTTGAAAAAAATTGAAAAAATTGAAAAAAATTAGAAAAATGTGAAAAAATTGAAAAAATCTAAAGAAAATTAGAAAACTCTACTTGGTATAGGATAAAACAGTTATGTACGGTCGGTTTGGATATTGGGTTCATCCCTCGTGAGGTATGCACATCTACCTTCGGTCCCTACGGTCCCTCAGGTAGATATGCATATCTCCCTCTGGATAAACCCGATATCCAAAACCTCCCAGTACATAACCCTTATATATTTACATATTTAGATATTTTGACAAAATGCAAATTTAGCATCCAGTAGTGAAAATATCCTGGGGAGATAACTGTATGTGTATGACTCTTAAATTAAGGGTTTAAATTAATAAGCTACTATATATTACACCAGGTTTCTTTTCAAAGTGGACCTTTTTTTAGGTTAAGTTTAATTTATTTGCATAATTTTTATATAACACTTTTTAACATACTAGAAGGGCTGAGGTAAAATTTAAAACATAACATTTTAAGCATAAGCTGCATTCTTTAAAATAGTCATGATTTTGATACATGTGGAAATGATGTGCATTTATCGTTATGTTTTTTCAGGTTGCTAACAAACCTTCAAGGATGAATATATCCAAACTGTGGAAGTTCAAAAATAAAAATTCAAATAGCTTTGTTCCAAAACGTCTTTCAAAGCTTTCAAAGAATGTGCGACGCAGTGCAAGACTCTCCTCGAAACCCTCAAAGAATTTTGCTGATGTTGATCTTGAAAGTTCCTCAGATTTCGGTTCTAGCATGGGGAGTGAACAAATGAAATCTATGAAACTGAAGGGAAGTAGGAACTCTCCTGGTTTTTATAGATATCATAAACCACTTGACAGCGCTCAACTTCAGGGCCCTCAGGAAGGAGAAAATTCTCAAATCGACAAACAGGAATCCTTCACGCAAAATGAAAACTACGCATATGAAAATAAAATCGAGCCTTATTTGAATGAAAATGAGTATGCAGGTGGAGACACTGAAGGTGATGGGAACTATGCTCCACTTGCAGGGTCCGATTTAGCTCATTCCTCTATCAGCAAGACAGTATCTATAAAGGCAGAACCTTGTGATGAGGGTTACCCCAGTGAAACATTATGCCATCTGAAGTCGGAAACAGATTACTTAAATTCAAATAAAGATACGGGCTTAAATGAAGGAAATCATACCAGCTTAGATATGTCAGTGGAAAATGCTGAATGGGTTGATATAAAAGATATTCATGATAAGAATGGTACAGAAAACTCAAATTTGGTAAGTGGAGGGAATAAAAGAAAATCTGGCCCTGTGAGGAGAGTGCTTAATGGCCAAGTGGTTGAAGAAAAGAATCCAGTGCTGGATACTCCACATGTGAAAAAATCTAAAAACAATATCGAATCGTTAAATCGTGAGCTTAACAAGGCCAATACAGTAATCTCACAGTTGAAAACTCATATACAGAAAAAGGATGCCCAGTTGTATAATTTGTCGCAACATTTTCAGAATTTATCGCAACAGTTTCTAGATATGGCTAGCCAGTTTCAGGCAGTGGTAAATGAACGCTGTGAGGTGGATTTAGATGACTGTTAATAATTGTTGTTTTTATGTACAATAGAGTGAATTCAGCAATTCTCCTGAGTATTGAAGCAGCTTTGTGCTTTTTGTCAAAATTGGTAAAATTAGAAGTCACTGCACTTGCTTCAAGTCGAGTGACAGTTCTCGTTAAATAAATTGTTTATGTGTTGAATTTAGTACAAAACATGAGATGGCCCACAATATTCATTGTCCTAGAATGATTTATAAACTCCATTTAATTTTTGGATGATTACTTGGGCTTGAAAAATTACAGACTTTTGTGAACTATGGTATCACCATTCTACTCCATTTTTGGAGTTATTGGTTTATTTAAGTGTTGTTTCAGTTTGCATTTTTGTGATTTAATCTCAGGTGCCATTTGATATTGCAGGTAATTACAACAGTATTGTAATGTTTTGAATTATTAAAACAGTGATTCGTGGCTGATCCACTTGCTTTGGTCTACTGTGGTGTTTTTTAATACAATACAGTAATATCCATTGTGTTCAGATTGTTAATTAAATGAATTGAAATGTTGTCATGTTCTCCTACTTCAGTGTTTCGTGTCACTTAAACGTTTCAGTCATATTTAAAGTCATTTATGAATTCTGTTCAAATATACAAGTCTGTTTATGTATAATAGAATGTCACATTAAGGGCTCTTAATGTACACAGGTAACAAGGAAAACAATTGAAAGTTCTTGTACTAGTGTTTTCCCTTTCCTTATAATTGGTGACCTGTTATTTCACACAATCAACGAAAAGATCAAATATTTGTCTCACTACACTCTGGCACTTTGATCAAAACCTAGCAATCGCACAAATAGATCAGTATCATTTTATGTTGTACCAGGTAATATTTTTGTTGGTAGAGTTTGTGATTGATTCATTGCTTTATTTTTTCCTTTGTCGTGCAATAAAAATATTTTCATTTATAAAAGTATGGTGCAATTCCTGTAAAGAATCTTGCTTTTGAGTGATTTAATATTGAGATGAATATTGTTTTTGGTGTAATTTAATAAGTTTACATATTTCATTTTGATGTTTGTGTAAAAGCAGTAAGGTAGGCAATAGCAATTACATTTAAATTGTGATGCTTTGTGATTTTGGCCTGCGATGAGCAAAATTTTGGAACCAACTAGTTTACATATTTAACTTGACCAACCTTAATCAAGTTACCCAAATTCAAACTGAATTTGATCTGGGACCTGGTCCATAATCCCAAAAACTGTGCAGGTTTTCCTGAAAATTGCAGTTAATTATTGATATAAGTATACAGAAGTGTACATCCTAGACAACTGACGAACCAGGTCCCACCTTAAAGTGCACCCAGTCTGTCCCTTCAAATAACCAAAATACATTCCACTTTTAAGTTGTGAAGTCCCATCTTATAATTGACTGAGATGGGTATATTTTAATTTAGTTTGTGAATTTTATATATTTATTATATCGTTAACAATGTAATGTTTTTCAAGCAGAGTACAGGGTGTCATCTAAGTAAGATAAGCCACACGTTGTACATGCCCGGAGCCAGGATGGGCCAAGGGGGTTCACTTTATGAAAAATTCCAGGGGGTTTACTTTTGACAATTTGGATCCAAAAATGGCCAAAATCACTTAAAAAGTGCTCAGAATGATGAAAAACTGAATTTTTGCTCGAACCCATCTAAACCCCCTGGCTATGGGCATGATGTATTTTACGGACATTCTTGTCAAAATTTATTAAATGATTGTCTGTAGTCTGAATAAGATGACAATATAAAGTTAAGTACTGGGCCAAACATCAGTGTGTTATTTTTGCATAGAACTAATTATTTGGATAGATGCAGAGCCAAGTATAGTGATAACATTGGGTCATTGGTCCATGGGGAGGGAATATTAGCTTTTTAAATTAGTTTTGCAAAAATGAATACATTGATATTTTGATCCATTCCGTTATATCCTATTAATTTAATGTCATGTATTTTGACCGATATTTGGTTTTTATTGGAATTGTTCACCCTTGGTATGAACAAGAAGATAAGTGAATGTAAGGCTGTAATGCAAACTACGACTACCTTGTTTATTTAGTCGATGGTGAACAGTGTATCTATATACAGTATGTAGTGTACCTACATGTATGTACAGTATGCAGTGCCCATGTGAATATGGTGGACAGTGTAGTGTAGATTCGATGTACAGTACAAAATGTATGTGTAGTCTTTATGTACCTACATGGAGTAGCTAGTTATAGTAAAATTGCGGCACTCCTCAGGAATGGAATGCAAAGGAGTGGTTTCGATATGGTGAACTTTTTGAACACACGTTTCTCTGAAACCAGTCATAAAAAAATCTAAAAATGTAACATATAATGGTCATCTTTTGAATTGTAACAATATACTTTGAAAAATATATACATGTATATACTTTCATCTATATTGTTTTTGAAAACACATCAAACACTTGTTTTGTTCTTGGTATCATGTTTCCAGAGTGAAATGAAACATCTTTCAGAACCTCATTGGAACAAAGCGACATATCTCTCATTATTGCAATTGTACAAATGAAATTTTGGTTGATTTTAAAAAAGTATCTTGTGAATGAAATAAAAGGTTTATTTTGATTTTTATTGATTTTGGGGGGATTTTGTCTAATTTTTTGAATACCTTTTTTAAATCAACCAAAAATTCCTTTGTATAACTATAATTTTGAGAAGTCTCAAAACATGTTTTATATGCTATTTTGTTCAAACAAGGTTCGGAAAGACATTTTATTTCATTCTCAAGAATTGGTAGAAAGGAGCAAAAACAATTGAACTAACAAAAAAATGTTAACAAAAACAGTTATATAAAATATTTCTAAATAATTTTCACATTAACTTGTTGTCAATCAGTCAACATTACATAAAATACTGTGTTTTTTCCAGAATGTTTTCAATAATTGGTTTAAGAGAAAAACATTGTTGAATTCAGTTCACCATATCGATAACTGTCCTTTGCAAATCATAGTGTCCCTGAGTATTTTATTTTTAAAAGTGTCATACTGTAGGTCTTAAAAGCTCTATATCACCATCTTGACAATTCTCTATTATCTGGAGATGCTTGAAAAGATTGATTTCATATCTTAAAGTGAAGAAATTTAGATTGAAGGAGGGGGTTGAATGTAATTTTAGTGTGATATGCCAAACTTACCTTTGTATCACAGTCACCATACATGCTCTTTGTTTCACAATCACCATACATGCGCTTTGTGTCACAATCACCATACATGAGCTTTGTGTCACAATCACCATACAAGCTCTCTGTATCACAATCACCATACAAGCTCTTTGTGTCACAATCACCATACATGCGCTTTGTGTCACAATCACCATACATGCGCTTTGTGTCACAATCACCATACATGCTCTTTGTGTCACAATCACCATACATGCGCTCTGTGTCACAATCACCATACATGCTCTTTGTGTCACAATCACCATACATGCTCTTTGTGTCACAATCACCATACATGCTCTTTGTGTCACAATCACCATACATGCTCTTTGTGTCACAATCACCATACGTACGCTTTGTGTCACAATCACCATACATGCTCTTTGTGTCACAATCACCATACATGCTCTTTGTGTCACAATCACCTTAACATCAACAAAAATTAATGAAGGCTTTCTTTTGGCCAGGTAGACAAAGGACATCTGATGATCTTAATAGGTTGAGCTTTCATGGACTATATTTAAGAAATATAGACTGAGCAGGTATTATATCCTCGAATAAATACTGCAGGGCTAGGCACGTTTTCAAAAGCTTTTGTGCCTAGCCCAAAGGTATTTATTACTCAATACCTGATCTGACGTATATATTATGATTTGAACATGAAAACTCACCAAAATTTTACAAAATTGTCACTTCATTTCCTACTTCCGATGCACCACTAAGTACAAATCAAGTATTATATCGACGGATAAATACTGGGTGAAATATGGACTATGTTCACAGTTTATAGAATGTGTAAATACAGTGATGTTTGAATTGTTAATAATTGCAATAGGTGCTATTTTAGTGTCTGTAAGATATTTTTGTAATTTAGGTGCCTTTTGAAATGCTTTTCAATGGCACCAAATTAAGACAGAATCATTTTGTTTATTGAGTATTTTCATCATGTAATGTTCAGAAAAAGTGTTATGTTGTTGTCTTGTTCTTTTCAGTATTAAAGAAGTTATTACATTTACACGTGTAGTTGTTATCTTGTTTGAGAGTGACAGTGCAAGGTTACTTAAAGGCATAGAAAGTTCCAAGTGCAAGCATTAGCTAAATGTGCAAGATATTATTAGTATATAATGTAAAAGTTAGTTGATTGTTCACTCTTTTCACAGATTCACAATGTGACATAGCCAATATTAAAGGAATATTCCTTGCCAGACCATCTCTCTTTTGATATTGTAGCTATAACCATTTATCTAACCATATTTAGCAAAACATTGGAAAATATTTTGATATGGTCAAATTTGATCATTTAAAATTCCCGTGCTCATTTTTCTTTCTTTTTATAATAAGGATAATAGATAATTCGGTTATAGCAACCATATCATTGCAACAATGAAATATTCCTTTAAATATTTATGAATTTATCTAGAGTCACTATTTCCTCTTCATTGTTCATTGAGTATACTGTAAGATGGTTTCTTAAAATATATCTGTTTTTAAAAACAACATTGATATTTCTTTATTTTTAAGAGACAATACATCATTAAACATTCATAAACATGACTTATGTTTTGAAAATTTATTAATATACATATGTATGTATTGTTCAATTACATTAAAGAGAGGTTGCCAATCAGAAGTAACTTAATTTACTATATTGTGACAAAGTTTATCCCTTTTACATTTTTAGCATACATCAAGCCTTGAATGAATATATGTACAGTCTTAGAAAAAAGCATGTAAAAATAAGGTAATTACCTTATGTGAGTAAATTTCACATCCACAGAATATATAAGACATTTCTTGTGCCTATGGTTTGACTGAGTATTTAGAACTTATCCAGGGTTAGGCAAAAAAGGTAACCCAAACACATTTTAATAACTCCGTCATCAAGTATAGGTCATAAGTCATATTTGTTACAATCGAACCTTGTTCAATGTTCTTTCATTCCATGAAATTTGATTTGTCTATATTAAATGGTCACGTTTTTATGACCATTTTACAAAACATGCTCAAAATGTTTTGTAAAATGACCATAAAATCGTGACCATTGAAAGAGACAAATGAAACTTTCTAAAATGAAAGAACATTGAACAAGGTTCAATTATATCAAATATTACTTAAAACCCATACTGGATGACTGAGTTGTTAAGATTTGTTTTGGTTAACTTTTTTGGGCTCACCCTGGTATGACAAAATCACTGGTTTTCATTCTTGAAGCAGTTATTGTGTTCAGCAGAAGCATGTTGATTCATTGTTCAGCAGAAGCATGTCGATTCATTGTTCAGCAGAAACATGTTGATTCATTGTTCAGCAGAAACATGTTGATTCATTGTTCAGCAGAAACATGTTGATTCATTGTTCAACAGAAACATGTTGATTCATTGTTCAGCAGAAGCATGTCGATTCATTGTTCAGCAGAAACATGTTGATTCATTGTTCAGCAGAAACATGTTGATTCATTGTTCAGCAGAAACATGTTGATTCATTGTTCAGCAGAAACTTGTTGATTCATTTTTCAGCAGAAACATCTTGATTCATTGTTCAGCAGAAACTTGTTGATTCATTGTTCAGCAGAAACATGTTGATTCAGCAGAAACATGTTGATTCATTGTTCAGCATAAGCAGGTTGGTTCATTGATCAGCAGAAACAAGTTGATTCATTGTTCAACAGAAACATGTTGATTCATTGTTCAACAGAAACATGTTGATTCATTGTTCAGCAGAAACATGTTGATTCATTGTTCGGCAGAAACATGTTGATTCATCGTTCAACAGAAACATGTTGATTCATTGTTCAGCATAAGCAGGTTGGTTCATTGATCAGCAGAAACAAGTTGATTCATTGTTCAACAGAAACATGTTGATTCATTGTTCGGCAGAAACATGTTGATTCATTGTTCGGCAGAAACATGTTATTCATTGTTCAACAGAAACATGTTGATTCATTGTTCAACAGAAACATATTGATTCATTGTTCAACAGAAACATGTTGATTCATTGTTCAACAGAAACATGTTGATTCATTGTTCTCATTACTTCTAGGATCTGATAGTCTGACTGATAAATCATTCACATTGTTGTTTCTATGTTTTGACTTGAATTCCTGCATCAGCATTTCAGTCATTTTTTTCAATAAATCCGCCACTCCATCTCCTGAAAGTAAATTATACAGAGTGACCAAAAAATGCAACGCTCTTATTCATGAACAACTTTACCAACTTTGCTGGAGTTTACTTGCGTAGCTAGGGTGTCCAATGCACCAAACAATGCTGTACATATGTTGCATCTATAAAATTCGAGGCAATTCAACCATTAATTTGGTCAGTTCTTCCAGAATTAGGTTTTCAGTGTTACTAATTTGAGATATGAGATATAGTATCTGATTTTGGTTTCACATTAGGGTGATGTTTTATTTATTTCTACGATTTCATTTTAATGTGGAATTAAAGATACTTGTGCTCAAAGGGTAATGATGCCGCATATGCTCACACAATATCACAATCATACATATCCACAGATGCCCTTCATTCAATATCACAGTCATACACAGATGCCCTTTTTTTTTTTTTTTTTTTAAGGTTATTTTATTTCCATATTTCAGACATATATAAACATACAATAATACAATAATACATGAATATGGAGAAACAAGCCTACGTTTGCACATTATTGGCTTGTGAAAATACATTTTATACAGCGGATATTTACACATACAATAGTAGTGTCATAATTTACATAAATGCAGTGTTCAGATGGGATGAAGATGAGTGATGATGATATGAAATTTGGCAAGGTACAGTAGCTATGGCACTTCACAATATTTTATTAATAAAATCTGATGATAGATTTATAAGTGTGGAGTTAAGCTTTGGTGATAGTTCTTTATCACCAAATAAAATCATATCAACCTTGTCATATTTACGTTTACTGGAGAAAAGTTTGAGGTCAGGGTCAGCTTGCTGGGAGAGACTTAGGAGAAATGTTTGTCTTGCATCATGTGTAAGAGGGCAATCAAGCAAATAGTGTACCTTTGTCTGGTTTCGAAACCCACATGGACAACTTGGATCTTGGTAATTTACAAAGTTGTGCCGGAAAAAATCAGAGCGCAAAGACAGGTCACATCTCATTCGATTTAGTTTTATTTCCAAAGGTCTCTGGATATTTAAATGGGGTGTCAAAGCAGAGATCATTTTAGTCTTTTTGAAAAAGTGATTTGCATATGATCTTTTGAACTGTGACTTAGTTTCTTTGTTTTTGATTTGCACTGGGATAGGTATCCATATTTTAATAGGAGATATTGCAGGCGAATTTAGGAATTTTGATGATGCAGAGGCTGGGATTATATATTGACGTTGAGTTCTTAGTCCTGGTCTATAAGCTGGGTTTAAAAGAGGTGTGTATATATCTTGAACATAGGTGGGGACCATTTCTCTGTTGACTTTGAACATTAATATTGCCTTCTTTTCCTGTCTACGCTCAAGTAAGGATTTCCATCCCAAGGCTTGTAAAACTTTGTCAGAATTTGATCCGGTGATAGCACCTGAAACTATAAGCGCAGCACGATAGTGAATTCTATTGAGCTTTTCAATATGGACTCTTGAGGAGGAGTCAATAAAAGTTGAGCCTTGTTCTAAATGAGGAAGGATAAATGATGTATACATTGTCTCCAAGTGTTTTGATGAAATTTTTGACTTTAGAAACAGAAGTGGATTGAGCATTTTGCTAGTTTTCAAAACAATGGCATTGATGTGTTCCTCAAAATTTAGATGTTCATCAAGAATGATTCCCAGGTGTTTGTGACTATGGACTCTCTGAATTTGGTCATTATTTAAGAAAAGAGGTTGGTAATTTCTTAACTTTGCTCTTGGCTTTTTAAAGATTACCTCTCTCGTTTTACTAGGCTTAAATTTCATTTTCCATTTATTTGACCACAAATGTATTTTATTTAGATCAGACTGGAGTATATTGTGAGAGAGTGTAGTATTATCATTATAGGACACTTGAGCATAAATCGAAGTGTCATCAGCATAAATGAAACATGTGGAGTCTAGAATATCTGGAAGGTCATTTATGTACATTAGAAAGAAAATCGGTCCAAGAATGGATCCCTGAGGAACTCCAGAGTTTATGTATCCTATTTGAGACCAGATAGAGAAATCTGAGTTTACTTTTGTTCGTACTCTACGTTCACTTAAATATGAAGAAAAAAGTTTAATGATATTTTCACCGAAACCATATGATTTTATTTTATGAAGAAGTAGCTCGTGTGGAATTTTGTCAAACGCAGATTCTATATCTAAAAATAGAGTTCTAACGTCTTTGTTACTTTCAAAAGATGTCATTATATAGTTTGTTATACTTAAAAGTTGGTATTCAACACTATGCCCTGGCAGAAATCCAGATTGGTTTTTAAAGAGTAATTGATTTTCTATTAAGTGTTTAAGCATTTTCTGATGTATTATTCGCTCACATAGTTTGCCCATAGTATTTAAAAGAGTAATTGGTCTGTAATTTAAAGAATCCGTCTTAGCTCCTTTGTTTTTGAAAATTGGTATGATAACACCATCTTTCCACGGTTTTGGAAATATGTTCTCGTTAAAAATGCGATTAAATAATTTAGAAATTGGGGCATCAACTGAGTCAGCCGCAAGATTTAACATTTTGTTTGTAATACCATCTGGACCCTCTGCTTTTGAAATATCAAGTTGTCTTAAAAATTTACAGACCTCTTCCCTGTCTGTGTTTAATGTATTGAGTTGTATTTCAGATCTTGCTGGAAACTCAGGTAAATCATTTTGTTGGAAATTTAAATCATGGTGAAATTTTTCTAAGAAATGTGATTGAAAACACTTAGCTTTTTGCTCATCCGTCTTAGCAACATTCATCAAATTATTTGAAAAAAGAGCAGGTATCTCAGGTACAAATCGCTTCCCTAAAAGTTGTTTAATTGTTTGCCAATAGAATTTATCAGTTTTTTCCTGAGCTTGGAGACTATTGCATACATCATTATCATAAGTAGTCTTTGCATTATCTATCAAATTTCGCACTCTATTTGTCTGCTCTGAAAGTTCATCCATATGTTTTTTATCATTTGAGACTTTAAATTTTTTATATAACTTGTCACGTTTATTAATTGCCCTTTTTATATCTGAATTAAACCAAGGCATGTCGTTTGACTTTATTCGTTTTTCTTTGCATGGTATGAAAGCATTAAATATGCTAAATAATGTATCAGTAAATTTTTGAGTTGCAGAATTTATGTCCCCAGAGTAGATTAAATTATCCCAATCAAAAGCAGAAATATTTTGATTTAGCCTCTGTATGTTACAATTTTTATACTGCCAAACCTTTTTAATACTAGTTTTTTTGGTATTTTCCTTGATTATGTCCAAACTGGTCAAAACAGAAGAATGGTCACTGCCTCCTATAGGTGGTAACACTTCACTATGCAGGATTTTACCAGGAGCATCAGTGAAAACTAAATCAAGACAAGACTTGCACTTTGGAGTTATTCTAGTTGGTTCATGAATGAGCTCACTAAATGCAAAATCACTCATTGTGTCAAAAAGTGCTGTACCTAAGGGAGTATCCTGATCTTGATCATAAAAAAGTTTACATTTAGCATTAAAATCTCCATTTAAGAGTACTATGTCATACCGGTCTTCCCCTCTGATTTTTTCTAGTTGTGATTTTAATCTGCTGTTAAATGACTGTATTTCCTCTCTTGATACCAGTGAGGGAGATTTATAACATGCGCCAAGTAAAATATGTTGATGATTTATTACTAACTCAACCCACACAATTTCATTTTGATTTGAGAGGTCATGTCTAAGATTATATGCAATATTACTTTTTATATAAATAATAATACCCCTTCCATGCTCAGGAATAACTGGATATATTGGCTCATGAAAATGTTTAATCTGATATTTATCAATGTTGACAGATTTTCCTGCCTCACAGATGCAGACCACATCACAGTTCAGTCTCTCTACCACATGCTTTAACTCGACAAAACGTGTTCCTTGGTGTGCGGTGATGCTATTAATATTTAAAGATAAAATTTTTGTTGATTCATCAGGTAAAAATGGCCCAGGATGAGTTTCAATATCATTTGCAAGCCTTATTACCATGAGCAAATAGTCAATGCAGATACAATAATAAAATCCAATGCCAGGTATTATTAAAGCTGCAATGATACATCCTAGCACCCTAAATAATTTAACCGAGTTAATGTTTTTTTCAAAACATCCTGATGCTTGTTTAAAAATAGAATTTAACAGCAACATCACAATCACAATGTTAATAGCTGCACCTGTAGCCCAGCACATGTCCATAATATTAATGTTAAGCTCGTCATAGAGAACATAAAGCTGTGACATAACGTCTCCATCAGCAGCACAGAGCAAAGAAAATAGTAATGGTATACATTTTAAAAACTGACAGCATATGGAAAGAGTTAAAAGTTGCAGATATAAGCTGGAATGTGTACTTGTATTAGTTCTAGATCTAAATTTGATCCTAATAAAGGTACCTATTTTTGCCCTCCATGTTGCTATATCTACATCACCAGCAAGTAAAGTGAGCTCCAAGTCTCTAAGTAGCCAACCCTGTCTCCAGACTGATATAATATATGAGATGAGAAAGTGATGATGATATATGATACACTGCTAAGAGCACTTGAAAGTGCCCTGATACTATGCAAAAACATGTAGATGTTGATAATAACCACTGTTTCCATTTATAGATGGCAGCTAAATCACCTGAGCACATAAGGCTCCACTTTCAAATGAGCTGTTTGACCTTGGATAATTAATTACTAGTACAGAATAAAAAAGTTTAAAAATCAGTATGGAAAATTGGTTCGAAAAATGTTCAGTAAAATTAATCTCTTCTGAGGTATATATAGTTGGTTTGTTCAAGTGCTGGTTTTATGAAGAAATCATTCACCATGCAAAGCCAGTAGTGAACTCACAAAATTAGCTGAAAATGCACTGTTTGAATGCAGTAAGAAATAGTAAAGTTTTAACCATTAACATGTAAAATTTACCACCTGCAATTTGTTGCAGATGCCAAACACTGAACACCAACCACTGAATGTCGAGAACCATCCAAAAACACTGAATGGTGAACATTATATATTAAAAAGCAAG